CCCCATTGTCATGGATCCATCACCAGTTACAGGGTGACCTCTTCCAGCTGGGGTGCTCTGACTCTTGAGCACCTGTTGTGAGGGCAGGGTGCTGAGCTGTGCTGTCCCATAGGGCAGGGCACTGGGCTCACTGCAGAAGGATCTGTGCACTTGGAGAGGAGCCCTGCAGAGAAGGCACTGGGTGGCCTCTGAGCTACGCAGACAGCTGCTGTGGCGGTCCCTCTGCCCCAGCTTCATCTGAGCCCGGGCACCTGGCTCCTCAGCCTCTAGCTAGCCTCATCTGCTCTCTGTGGCTTGGTTTCAGTGTCCTGCTCCCTTACCAACCTGGCACCTCCTCTGGACATGGGCCAGTTATGAATTTCATTCGAAAACGTGGGACTTAGAGCTTAAGAGTACAAATGGGAGATATCTGAGGTATACCCACTGTGCTCTATGAATTTAAAACTATACAGTTCCTTCCTCTTTGTAAACAGTTATATGATGGCTGTTTTAAGGTGAAGCCAGGGAAACTGAAGCTCCGAGGTTCTCCCTCCGCCTCCCCTCCTTTCTTCACTCACTGTCCCTGGAGCAGCTCCTCAGAGCCAGGCCCTAAACTGAGCTAGTCTGACGGCCCCACCCAGCCTTATGGAGCCTGGAGCCCACCCAGCCCACAGGACTCCAAGGCCAGGGCTCTCCCTCCAGAGAGAAGCTCAGGCAGAGCCTCCCACGTGGGACAGAATGACCCCTCTCTGCTGCCCACAGACGTACACAGGCTCCATCCTGGTGGCAGTGAACCCCTACCAGCTGCTCTCCATCTACTCGCCGGAGCACATCCGCCAGTACACCAACAAGAAGATCGGGGAGATGCCACCCCACATCTTTGCCATTGCCGACAACTGCTACTTCAACATGAAGCGCAACAGCAGAGACCAGTGCTGTATCATTAGGTAAGTGGCTGCGCCAGCGTGGAGCTCCACCCTCGGCAGCGTGAGCTGCAGCTCTGAGCCCCTGCTCTGCTGCTAGGAACTGTTCCGCTGACTGGCTCCCAGGAAGCTCTCGGGGCCAAGCTGTGCACCTTGTGCTGGGCCGTGGTGTCCAGCCACCTCCCCTCCCAGAGGCCCTCTACCCTGTTAGCACTGCCAAAGCTCACGTTAGCCTTGAAGGCCAACCTTGCGCACCTGTGGCTCCTGCTAAATCATGGCCACAGTCGAAGGAAGGGTCAAGTTTCTGTCTTCTCCTGGCCTGAGGGTAAGAGCTAAAGCACTAATGTGAGCATCTAATACATACGTGTTCCGTGGCTGTCTTAGCTATGTTGTTGCGGAGACAAGATGCCTGACACTCCAAGTTAAAGGAGGAAAGGTTTATTTTGGCCCGTAGTTTGTAGAGGTTTCAGGCCATGGTTGACTGGCTCCCAGGCAGAGTGGCACATGGCAGACAGGCATTGCAGAAGAGAAACAGTTCATGGTAGGCAAAAGGCAGCAAAGCGGCAGCAGAAACAGCAGCAGCAAGTGGCAAAGCAAGGACCCTTTCTGTCCCTTACTGCATGCCCTTAGGGGAGTAGCACTCACACTCTGGGAGAGCCTTCCCATTCTCCACACCCAGAACTTTGCCAAGCCAATCGGAGAACTAACTTAATAACCACACACCCTTAACCCCAGCATCCCATACTAGATCCAGCCTCCTCTGAACACCCTTGCCTATGACCATAGGAGGCTTGGCTGGGACACCTAGATACCCTGACAGGGGTGTTTAAATGAAGTGATAGAGTCTGCCCTGAGCTCTTCAGCTCCCCCAGTCCTGGAGGGTGCAGGTCTCAGCCAGCACTGTGGGGTGGTGGTGGGGGGGCAACACTGGGACTGGTGGCCTCGGGCTATGGAAGTGTGGCGGGACCTGGCTCTCCCCTCTGTGCAGCGGGGAGTCCGGAGCAGGGAAGACAGAGAGCACGAAGCTGATCCTGCAGTTCCTGGCTGCCATCAGTGGGCAACACTCATGGATTGAGCAGCAGGTCCTGGAGGCCACCCCCATCTTGGAAGGTAGTGCGGGTGCTCCACAGGCAGGGCCAGGGGGCTGGGCTGGGCTGGCCTAGCCATGTCCCCTCTCCACCACACAGCATTTGGGAACGCCAAGACCATTCGCAACGACAACTCAAGCCGCTTTGGGAAGTACATCGACATCCACTTCAACAAGCGGGGCGCCATCGAGGGTGCCAAGATTGAGCAGTACCTGCTGGAGAAGTCACGAGTCTGTCGCCAAGTAGGTCCAGGTCCCAGGTGCAGAAGCAGACTTGGTTCCTTCCCTGGGCAGACCTGGCTTGGGGTGGCTGGGTGCCCCCATGTGCATTGCCCCGCATGCCCCCACTGCGCCTGTCCACCTGAGTGGCTGGTGTCCCCATGGACTTGCCTGAGCTTGTCCTCTCCCCCACTCCTGTGCCCACTCTTAGGCCCCAGATGAGCGGAATTACCATGTTTTCTACTGCATGCTGGAGGGCATGAGTGAGGAGCAGAAGAAGAAGCTGGGCCTGGGCCAGGCCAATGACTACAACTATTTGGCCATGGTGAGACTCGGGGGCCACCTAAGGAAGAGAGTGGGACAGATACAAGCTGCCCACATGGCCCCACCCCCGCTGCAGGTGGGCAGGGGTGGAGCCACCCTGGGGGTGCCCCAGCCCACCTAGGTTGCTTGGTGTCACAGTGCTTATCCCGAACTTGGGCACAGGCATCTAAACCAACTCTCACAATGGAAACATTTCTAAATGTAGACGTCTGTCCAGGGACACACAGACATGCCCACCCAGGCTGCTGCAGCTGTATGGATACCAAAGAGCAGTGGCACCCAGGGCCATCTGTGCCAGTTGTCCTAGGTTAGGGGCTCTGGGGCCATGCACACAGCAGGAGCACCACTTCTGTACCCCTAGGGAGGCCCAGCAGGGCCAAGGATGTAAGTGTGGGCTCAGACACCTGAGGGTGTGTTGAACCTTCCTGGATACTTCCACAGTGGCAGTCACAACTGGACATACGTGACAGCATGGAGCACCCACTCATCTGCTGGCTCCACCTGTGTCCATATCAGGCTGCCCCTGTGAGGGTTAAGTTCCTGAGGGTGGGCGGGTGGGCGTCTCCAGGGCTTGCAGAAGGCACTGCGGGGCCTTGGGGCTGTGACTGCCAGGTGAGTGACTGGCGTAGATCTGTGCTCCTCCCACTCTTGGGAGAAGGGGCACCCAGGACTCCCAGATGGGGTGAGTTCTTGAGAAGTCCAGGCGGAAGCTCTCCAGTCTTTCTGGAAGAGGCTGCTTATGCCAAGGATGCATGTATGGGCTTGCCGTGGTGAGACTTGGGGGCCACCAGCGCCTGGAGCTCCATGTGGCCTGGCTGGAGGGGGCCTTTAGCTCAGCCACCACCTCTCTGGGGAGCCCATGGCCTCGCTGACATCCGCTTCTCACTGCCCTACCCGTCTCAGGGCAATTGCACAACCTGTGAGGGCCGGGTGGACAGCCAGGAGTACGCCAACATCCGGTCTGCCATGAAGGTGCTCATGTTCACCGACACCGAGAACTGGGAGATCTCAAAGCTCCTGGCTGCCATCCTGCACCTGGGCAACCTGCAGTACGAGGGTAAGGCTGTGCTCCATGCTGCCTGCACCAAGGGCAGTACACACCTGGTGCCGGGGGGCCTGGCAGTGCACCTTCTGCCAGCCCAGCAGACCCTCCATAGGGAGAGTTCCCCTGCACGCAGACTTGAAGAGGTCTCACTTACATCAGCCTCAGGTGCTGCTGTGTGGAAATTCCACCAGAGCACAGACAGGCAAGGGTCCCTGGGATTTGAGTATGGACCTTAACGGGGTTAGACTTCTTAGAGAAAGGATAATTCATTCTTAGTATGAATTTGATTTAATTCATACTAAGGTGTGAGTGACTGAATAGCCATCTTCTGAGGGGGAGAGTCAGGAAAGGAACACGCTCACTTCTCTGACATTCCCTGGGTGTCACAACGTGGGCTGGGAGTTATCCTGTATTAGTCCCACTCCTTTCTTTCCCTGCTTCCCAGTGTGGGTCTTGGGCAAAATGGGAGCTCTAGGAAATTCACTCAGTGTCTCCAGTGAGGCAATCAGTCCAGTGAGTCTTGGGAGACTGAGAGAAAGGGTGCACCAAGCAGAGCGAGAAGCTTCTGCCAAGGTCCCGAGGCTTGCATGAGCAGCACACATTTGGAAGGGCAAGTTCCCAGAGCCTGTCTTGAAGGAGCTGGGGTTGCCGCCCCGAGCACCATGGGTTTAGGGTGGAGGCTGTAGAGCTATGCAAAGCTCGGTGGGTGGCTTGGAAGTCAGGGATGGTGCTAGATGCACCTGGGTCCTTCCATGTGGTGCCTTGGGGACCTTAACCCATACGTGCTGACCCAGAGATGTGTCCAGTCACGGCGCAGCTGCCCTCTGTGATGGGCAAGGCAACAAGAGTGCTGTGGAAGCCTAGTCCTCCTGGGTCTGTCCCAGCCCCTCGCCGGCCCTCTCCACCCTGACACTGCACTCTTGCTGCCGGCAGCCCGCACATTTGAAAACCTGGATGCCTGTGAGGTCCTTTTCTCTCCATCTCTGGCCACTGTTGCATCCCTGCTTGAGGTCAGTGCCTGCTTTCTGTGCTGGTGAAGATGGTGCTGATGTGCATCTCAGGGCATTGGGGTGTGAGGACCATGTCCCTGGGGGCCTCTGGCTGCAGACGTCATGTCCAGCACCAAGGACCAGCTGTGTGCAGGCTGCATGCTGGGTTTGGGTCCTGGGTTCTTAGGGCTTGTCCTAGCCTGGCTGCCCTGGGATGGTGCAGGCCAGGAGCCTGGGGCCCTGTGACGCCCTGGCTGCGTGCTCCTGGCTGAGTCATTTCTAGCCTCTTGGGCCCTAGTCCACATATCTGGGTAAAAAGCAGTGCTATCTGTGGGTCAAGTACGTGGAGTCTGTCCCTCAGTCACTTAACAAACACTAGGCTCTAGCCAGGCTAGAAAGTGGGGGTGAATGAAGTCAGTCAGGTAGGCCGAGAGGGGAAGGTGACAGTGGGAGGTGAGTGGGGCTGGCTGGGAGAAGAACCCTTCCAGGCAGGGTCTGGACAGCTTCTGGAGTCCAGAGGCAGTTGGGCAGTTGGTTGTGGCCCTTGGATGGGGATCTGAGCGAGGGTGGAGTCTGGGGAGGGGCTGGGTTAGAGAGGGAGAGAGTTCAGGTGTAGGCAGAGGGAGGAACGGGCCCACAGATCAAAGTGACCACTAGGTGTGTCTGCCCCAGGTGAACCCTCCAGACCTGATGAGCTGCCTGACCAGCCGCACCCTCATCACCCGAGGTGAGACCGTGTCCACCCCGCTCAGTAGGGAGCAGGCGCTGGACGTGCGAGACGCCTTCGTCAAGGTGGGCTGCTATGGGGCGTCTGCCTGCTTGCTGTCCTTCGGAGGCTGGGTTGCTGAGGCATAGCATGAGGGGTCCTTAGAGCTGGGCCTTGCCCTCAGGCCTTGACCTGTGGCCTGCTCTGATCTACTCTCCGGAAGACACAAAGAGGGCTGGGTCAGGAGGCAAGGCCTCTAGCTCTCCCACTTTGCAGTCACACACTCACCACTCCGAATCCCCAACCTGTGCCAGGCCTGTTCTGGGCATTGAGCACTTCACAGTCCTCAGAGCAGATGGGGAGACTGACAGCCTGAGGCGGGGGCCCGAAGGCAGCTCCTTCCCAGCCTGCCCAGCTGGAGTAGGGGCCCAGAGGACCTCCTATGTGGCAGATCTCTGACAGGAGCTGTGGGGGCAGGAGAGAGTCTGTGGAGGCCAGAGAAGCTCAGCTTCCATAGTTGGTCTGGAGTGAGGCTATGGGCCACTGTGGGTCCCAAGGAGATCAGTGGCTGACATGACTACCTTTCAGGGCATCTATGGGCGTCTCTTCGTGTGGATTGTGGACAAGATCAACGCAGCCATTTACAAGCCTCCCTCCCAGGAAGTGAACTCCCGCCGGTCCATCGGTCTCCTTGACATCTTTGGGTTTGAGAAATTTGCTGTGAACAGGTACCATGTGGGCCTCTGCTTGCTGGGTGGGAAATGTCTCTTCTCTCCCTTCAGGCCACACTGAGCTGGCTCCGTGTACTCCCTGACAGGCTGCTGGGAATTTTGACTTCAGGTGCTCTGGGGGCCTCTCTCCCCTCCCAGTGTCAGCTGAGGCCACCAGGCACCAGGTGGTGGAGGAAGGCCCTCACCCTGTCCTAGACAATTGGAGGCAGCCTCTGGTGTTCAGGCCCCGTGCTCACGGCAGACCATCCAGTGTCTCGGCTGCAGGCTACCTTGAGGCACATGGGGCCTGAGCCATCCTGGGCACCAGGGTCTTGGTCACACTGGGCACCTGTACTCCTGGGGTCATGTGAAAGGCTGAGGGATGACACTGGCACAGGTGGATCTGGGCACAGGGAGCAGCCATCCCCATTCCACTTGGCAGCTGTGTGACCCTAGGGATTCGCTCTAATTCCTGCAATGCCCAGCTGTCAGAGCCCCCATCCCTAAAAAACAACCCACACCTCAACCTCAAAACACATCCAACTTAGCTGAGCCATCAGTCAGGCCCTGACAGTCGATCTCATGGCCCCCCCTCCCACTTCAGCATCACTTTTGCAGTCTCATTACACCCCCTTCTTGCTTTTGTGGGCTTCCCATGAGGCCAAGGGACACAGGAAAAGGGCCTGCATGCCGGCTTCCAGCCCTGCCTCTCCGAGTGCCCTCGGGCAAGTCGCTGGCCTCCTTGTGGAGGCAGGGCTGGGCCTGAGCAGCAGCCCATGCAGCCCTGTACCCCACAGCTTTGAGCAGCTCTGCATCAACTTGGCCAATGAGCACCTGCAGCAGTTCTTTGTGCGGCACGTGTTCAAGCTGGAGCAGGAGGAGTACGACCTGGAGAGCATTGACTGGCTGCACATCGAGTTCACTGACAACCAGGACGCCCTAGACATGATCGCCAACAAGCCCATGAACATCATCTCCCTCATCGACGAGGAGAGCAAGTTCCCCAAGGTGGACCCTGCTTCCTCGGCCCGCTGGCAGGGAGGGGGTGCCCTTATGCACTCAGCTCAGCTTTCCTCGGCTGACACCACCTCTCGGGGCATCTCAGGAGCAGTTTCAGGGCAGCAACCATCTGACACATGGGAATCAGCTATCATCAGCTCGGTCCAAGACCAAACAGTGAAGCCCTAAGCACACAGTTGGTGCACAATAGGTGCTCAAGGCAACATGTCTTGGAAGGGGAAGAAGTGTCGCTGCCAGGGTTTTAATCACAGGGAATCAGTTTTGCAGGCTGGAATGTGTTTTCAAGGTTGTATCCCTCCAAATTTCCCATTGAATAGATAGGACTGTGAGAGCCCAGAGAGCTCCTATGTGGGTGTGTGCTCGTAAGAGGGGTGAAAAGCACGGGCTAAAAGGTAGCAGGGTGTGGCGAGAGGACAGCTCAGCAGTGCCTTCTCTGATCCCACAGGGCACCGACACCACTATGTTGCATAAGCTCAATTCCCAGCACAAACTCAACGCCAACTATGTGCCCCCGAAGAACAACCATGAGACCCAGTTTGGCATCAACCACTTTGCAGGGATCGTCTACTATGAGACCCAAGGTACAAGAGGGTCGGCTGTCTGTCTGTCTGTCTGTCTGTCTGTCTGTCTCTGCCTGTGCCCCATTCCTGTCTCAAAAAAAAGCCATCCAGGTCTTGAGTACAGAGAAGAGAAAGGACTCAGGAGACACTGTTCATTTCTAGTTTTTCCAAAGGTCTCAAAAATACACACTTAAAACTTGTAGTAAAGCATATATAAAATTTACCATTTTAGCCTTTTTTGTTTGTTTTTTGAGACAGGGTCTCACTATACAGTACAGGCTGGGCTTGAACACTCTGTGTAGCCCAGGCTGGGCTTGAACTCACAACAATCCTCCTGCCTGTCTCCCAGGTTCTGGGATTATGGGCATGCGCCACCATGCCCAGCTCATTTTGACCATTTTAAGGGTGTAATTCAGAGGCCTTAAGTGCGTTCCAAGGTGTGCAGCTGTCATGCCCTCATCTCCAGAGCCTTTTCATCACTCCGCGCCCACCATCAGTGACTCCTAGCCCCCCACTCCCAGCCCCTCATCACTCCCAGTCAGCTTCCCGTCCCTGTGAATGTGACCCTTCTAGGTCCCTCCTAGAGTGGGATCCTACAGCATTTGTCTTGGGCCTGGCTTGCCTCACTTACAGGGTGAGTTCAGCCATGCTGTAGCCTGGCTCAGTTCCTGTGCTCTTAGGGCTGAGGGGCTGTCCGTCGCATGGCAGCACCGCATTTCCTATATGTGCTCCTCTGCTGCTGGCCCTAGCCTTGCATCCACTTTGGCTACAGTGCGCGGTGCAGCCGCGTGCTCTGGTGTGCAGTCAGTGGAGTTCTTGCCTTGAACCCTGTTGGGTGCAGAGCTCTGTGAAAATGAAGAAACAGGCCTGCGGGGCGCTTGACTCTCCCTGTATGACCTGGCACATCCGACTGGATGCTCACCCAGGGAGAACCAGCCCTGTTCCCACCAGACCTGCCCAGCCCCAAGGCCAGGTGTGAGTGTCGAAGGGGCTGCGCCTGCATCTTCTTTGCTCATGGGGTTGTGCAGCTGTGCCATTTTGAAGCTAGACATGAAGACAGCTGCACTGTCACCTACCATCCAGGGCAGCCCAAGTCCTTGGCTCTGTGGGGCCACGCCCTCAGGCATCCTCAGTGGTGAGAACCCCATCTTCTGTGCCACCCTAGTGTACTAGTTCCTACTCCTGTGAATGGCAGCCTTCCTGGAGACTCTGGCATAGGAAGCTTCTCTGGTTGGCCCCAGGCATCCTAGGTTGGCTTCTTAGCTCTGGCATGGACTGCAGTATGCTGCTGGGCAACTCTTAGCTCCCTCTCCTCCCTGTAGGATGGCAAAGATAATCCTGCCCTCCTCCACATATGCGAGGGATTGTAAGAGACTTTGTCAAACATAATATACTCTTCAGCTATCAGGCAGTTGTAGTGGGTCCCTTTCTTGTTAGCTGGCACTGAAGCAACATGGACCTTCTCCCAGGAGACATGCTTCCTTAACAAGGGCTTTGATATCTTAGTTCAAAAGGTTCCTAGTTGCTTTGGGGTAGGTCACACAGGAAGGTGGCCTCTTTCTGTCCTGGAGACCAAGACCTCGTGCCCTCTGGGACTGGCCTGGGAGGATGATGGCATGGTGAGAGTGTGGCTTCTTACTTCCTCTGTGATCTTGGCAAGGTGCTGTCCTCTCCAGGATCCAGTGTGCCCCCTTGTGAAGTGTGTGTTACACTAGGTGAATTTTCAGGATCCTCCTGGCTCAGACACTGGGGATCTGGGGAGGCCTCAGTCTGGTGGTCTTGGTGAGGCTGCCAGAGCTGGCGTGGCATGACTGTTCTGTGCCGCTGTCCAGGTTTCCTGGAGAAGAACCGGGACACCCTGCATGGGGACATAATCCAGCTGGTCCACTCCTCCCGGAATAAGTTCATCAAGCAGATCTTCCAAGCCGATGTCGCCATGGTAAGGCTGTGTGGCATTCTGTGGGGGTGGGGTGGGGGGGTGAGGTGGGGACCAAGCCAGGCCTGTGTCAAGTCCTGCCTTGTCCAACAGTTTTACCTGGGCTTCTGGGCTGCAGAATAGGGACAATAGGGCTTTGCTGTTATTCCAGGAGGGGCCCAGAGAGGCCTCTATAATGTTCCCCTCTGGTCCTCTTGTGCTCATCTTGGTGTGGCCAGGGGGACAAGCCCCAGAGAAGAGCCACACGAGAGGTCACAGAGCCAAGGCTGCTCGGGACTCAGTTTACCCCTGGCCTCTAGCAGTCAAGAGGAATGAAAGGCCTCAAGGATACAGGATGGGCATGGCATGCAGTTGTTGGCACAAAGGGTGCGCAGTGCCGCCTCGGACCCACAGAGAAGGCGGTGACTGCCCCTCCTTTCTAGACCCCAGCTGGCATCTGGTGGGCTTTCCTTCTGCAGGGTTGCTTACACTTTTTGAGTTTTTATTTGGACTTTTTTGCAGTGCTGGAGATCACACCTAGGGCCTCATGCACGCCAAGTGCTGCACACCCAAGCCACATATCTAGCCTGTCTTTTTATCTCAGGTGTTCCTCCTGCCCCATGGCTCCCTGGAGGTGCCAAGGAAAGGCTTTGGGGAGGGCAGAGCCCCCGGCCCTCAGCCACTGCGCAGCTGCCCGAGCTATCTCTGGGCTGCCAGCTGTCGCAGGGTGAGACCCCAGCTCTCACCCAAGGCGTGCTGACCCCTGGTCCTCAGCCCCACCCTCCCATCTCACCTGCCTGTGGTTCCCCTTGTAGTTTCTCTGTGGTTATTCATCCGGCAGTCTCCGCCAGGCAGCGGCTTCTGCAAAGGTAAAAGCCCCAGCCTGGGGCCTAGTGGGAGAGGTCCAGCCCCATGGGTAAAGGACTGGGCTTTTGCTACTTTTCTGGAGTGTTTTTCTTGTTTTTTGGTGTTTTCTTTTGTGAAGTGGTATTTGTTGTGGTTTTTGGTTTGGGTTTTTCGTTGCTGATGTTGTGTGTGCTACAAGCATCTCTGATTCTGAAGGGCAGAACCGAGTCCTGAGGGGCAGGACTTGCTCCAGGGTCCTGTGGGCCCAGGCTTCCAGCCCCTCTACCCCACTCCCTTGAGTCTCTGCTCCTCCCACCAGCCTTGTGACTCAGTCAGGTCCTCAAAGAGAAAGCACAAGTGGTCATTTTTGCATTTTGCAGGTGAGAGACTGAGGTCAGGGAAGGGGTGCAACTCATCCCCAGCACAGCCTGCTGGGACCAGAAGCCACTGTTGCCTGGTGTCCTGACCACTGCTTTCAGGTCGTGGCTCCCAAGTCCTTCAGGTCCCACAGGTGCTCGTAGCCAGAGCGCGCCTCCCTGTCTCAAGTGCTGACATCCCCTATGACTGGCCCAGTGCCGAGTCTTTCTGCCTCCTGCTGCCAGCTGTCACAGAGCTCTGGAGCAGCTCACAGCACCCTGCAGCAGGCCAGGGTACCCGCAGGCCAGGAGTAGGGCACTTCTCTAGACATTGGCAGCTCTTCTGGGCCCAAGACCCCCCTGGTCTTCCCTCTCCAGCTCACTGCAAGCCAGGTCATGGGTGCACACAGGGCCCACCTCAGAGAGGGCTCTGGCCAAAGCCCACATGTGTAGGGATGCACTAGAGAGAGCAGGTGTGGCTCCAGGCTGCCACCTGCTCTTCTCCTCTGCCCAGCCGCTGTCCATCCCTCTGGCTTCGTGGCACATCCCTAGTGCTCTGGGTGGACCTGCTTGTTCTCCCGCCTGGCTCTCCTTTGTATCTCCAGTGCTCTCATGGGCACCCAGGGCCTCTCTGCGTGCTTCTGATCTAAGGCTCTCTCCTCCTCGAGATGAGCACCTGTCTTCCAAGGACCTGCGTGGAGGTGTAGGCACAGAAAACGAGACTGTCCTGAAGGCCCCAGTCTCGAGGGCAGAGAGTTAGGGTGGCAATGACAGATTTGGTGCTGTCACTTCTCCTGGGCACTTCTATTACCATCTTAATCACCTCACTGGACCCTGTGGGTAGTTATACCAGTACTCTAACTTTGCAGCTAAGGAACCTGGGGTGCAGGAAGCAAAAGGGCTCAAGGTCACACAGCATGGGATATGACAAGAGTTGGAAGCCAGCTCTCTGTCTTGGAGCAGCTGAAGGCCTTGCGACATACAAGTGAGGACTGAAGGGAGCTTTCCAAGTCTTTGCATCACACTGTGCCAAATCTGGAAATGCCACATCCAGGAAATGGAAATGCTTTGTCAGTGCTGGAAACACGACTGCCCTTCTACAGGAGGAAGGACATCAGCCTGGCTCATTGTGAAACACTGAGCCACAGTTTAGTCAATGGCAGTGCCATTATCGCAATGCTGTTTTGGGGACAAACGCTCATGGCACTTCCTGGCATATCCGTGCCCATCTGTGTAGGTCCCCAACCCCGGAGTTTTTATCCTTTGGCTTCTGCGTGTGCTCCCCATGGTGCTCGGACCACACCTGCCCACCCCACCCATCCCTGATAACGGAACCAGGGAAGCTGAGAGGAGGCAGCTCTGCCACCACGGTGGCGGTGCTCTCTGGTTAGTGGCTGACCCTAGCCATGTGTCCTGGGGCCCTCTGTCCACAGGACATCTGTCTGTGCCTTACACAGGCAGCTTTCTACCTGTCACTTGTCTGGTCCTTGACGGATTCCAGCATCACACTCACTGTCTTCTCTTAGCTCCCCTCCACAGAGCCATCTAACATGGGTTCATTTTTTACCCTATTCCCAAAGATCTACAGATTCTTCCAGAAAAACAATACCAGGAAGAATGGCCTTTCCCTCAAGGAAACCCAAATGACAGAAGCTGTGAGAGCAGATCCTCCAGCCTCATCAATCCTACTCGTCCATTCACCCACTCACTTATCCAATCTACAAATATTTATTGAGTGAATATTGTCTGTCTGACTCTGGTCTAGGCCCTGGTGACTCAGTAGTGGACAAAATAGAAAAAAAAATATGTCATGAAGCATATTCTAGCAGAAGGAAGGAACAGTTAATAAGCCAAAAAATAAGTAAAACATGCTGGCTGGTGTAACGGCATGGAGAAAGGCCAGCGAGGCAGAAATGAGGGAGTAGGCCCCTCAGCTTTGTACAGGGGCCAGGGAAGGCCTCTTGGGAAGATGGCAGGAGCCAAGGACCCCAGCCCTGTGCTTCTGGAGGAATGACTTGGCGGGGAGAAGGATGGTGTGTACAGACACTCCGGGGTGCTCTTTGCCCCAAGCCTACCTGGTGTGTCCTAGGAAGGCCCAGGAGCTGGAGGAGCTGGAAGAGATGAACATGCTGGAGTGCAGAGGTCACTGAGAGCAGACGCTCTGGGCAGATTGTGGGTTTTTACTTGGACTTTGTTTTCCTTGGGGTGAACTGGGAGTCACTGGAGGACTTGGAGTAGGGGTCAGGTTATGAAGAGTTCGAAGGTGGAGCCTGGTAAGATTTGCTGATATGCTGGATGCAAGAGGTGTGGAGGACGATTTCTTGTTTTGGGGCCTGAATAGCTGGGAGGTGACAAGTTCTTTGAGTCCAGGGACAATGCTAGGAATCAGTCCACCATACAACAGTTGAATGAAGTGCTGACTGTCATGTCGCGGGCCCCAGTGCCACAGCAATAAGGCTGACCAACCTGTCCCTAAGGGGCTCATGGCCTGGCAGAGAAGACAGCCAGAAAACAGTATTTCCTGCATGCCTGAAACCAAAGATGAGGTGTGTGTGTGCACTTGTGCTCGGATGGCATGCGTGCTCCATGTGCCTGTGGACCCACTGCCGGCAGTGCCATAGCAATGACTGGGTACAGCCCAACCTGGCAGCTCAGCCTGCAGGAGGGGCAGGGGGTCACCCAGTGCTGGGCTGGATGGGATTCACTGACAACCCAGGGCCTCTTCCAAATAAAATTAAAACAGAAAGCAGCCATATTTTAGAATTGCAAATATTTGCTCTTTCTTGGAGGGTTTCATTAGTCTGCATTTAGCATGGTCTAAATGACTGTCCCCAAATCCTCAGACTTCTCCAGCTGCACCTTTGAATTTCATGCTCGGGGACGCAAAGTGAAGTTGCATCTCTAAGAATATAAAATCTTACAGTAATGATCAAATTCAGAAATTCTCACCCTAATGAAAGTTGCCAGGAAATCAGTAACATGAAAATGCTTGGGCTAGAACCAGGGTTCTTGTTAGACCATCTCCTCCCATTTCATAATATTCTGGAAGAGAGCCCTAAAAGTGCAGGGGGTGCAGAGGGGTGTGACTGGTCACCCTGGGGAGCTGGGGGAGTGCAGACCCCTTGTGGACCTTAGGGTCAGAGGCCCTGAGGGAGCCACCTCTGTGCCGCCTTAGGAGGCTTGCCAGGACTGCCCGCTCCTCCCCAACCTGCTGCGCCGGGATAATCCCACAAGCAGGAAGGTCACAGGCCATCTACCCTCCCTCTCTTCATCCTTCCTCCTCCTCCATGATTTCTAGAGGCCAGGAACCATCCTAAGTTGCTGTTTATTGAGACACACCCTGACCTCTGACCCTCTTCTCTGCCCTGGTGGGTTGCAGATAAGACTTTCTTTTCTAAGGAGAAGACTGACCCTTTTGGTGATCCGGTTGAGGCCACTAGGAAGCAGTGGGCCAGGGTTTAAATTTAGCTTTGTGCAGCTCTTAGCTCTGAGCTGTCCCCAGCATGCTCAGGGGAGTTGTGGGACATAGAGACAGTCTGGCCGAGGGTGCTCCAGCAAACCGGAGCAGGAGGGACCTGGGCATAGGGGAGATCCTGGAAGACTCCCGAAAGGGGCCTCTGGGGTCCAAGCTCTAGCCAGAGAGGGGGAAGGGGTCACAGGGAACCCTGCTGACCCAGCTTCCCTCCCTCCATCTGGGCGGCCACTGGAAGGTGGGAGGGCCAGGCACAGCCCCTCCCATCAGTGTGTCCATCCCCCCAGGGCGCCGAGACCAGGAAGCGCTCGCCCACGCTTAGCAGCCAGTTCAAGCGGTCGCTGGAGCTGCTCATGCGCACCCTGGGCGCCTGCCAGCCCTTCTTCGTGCGCTGCATCAAGCCTAATGAGTTCAAGAAGCCCATGGTGAGGGCCTGGCCTCGCAGGGGTGGGGGCCAGGGTGGTCTGGGCAGGGTGAGGGTCGTGGGGCTGCAAGACCCCCTCCCATTTGGGAGAATGGTGGGTACCGAGGGCTTGGGGAAGACCACCATTGACTGGAGAAGCAGGTGCGCTGCAGGGAGCAAGTAGGATGGGCACCTGCAGACCTGTTGCTGGCCCCCTCAAGCCTCGGTTTCCTTGTGGATAGAAACGGGATCTTCTACCCAGCCCCTGAGCACCAGTGGTGCATGCCTGCTGCCTGGCACCTAGTGGGTGCTCCATGGGGGGCCAGGTGGCTTGTGCCTCTGCCCCTCCTTCCACCTACCTCCTCCTGGGAGGCTCCTTCCTCAGGTCCCCAACTGGGGCCCTCCTCAGAAATGAATATTATTCTTATACTTTCAAGAATAATATTTGTTGGGCCCTTTCTGTGTTCCTGGAACAGCCTCATTCAGCTTTTGCAACGGCCTCTGAGGAGGAGATTGTGTCCCAGGTTGGAGATGCAGGATGGGGACTCAGGGTACTAAGGGTTCAGGCCTAGACCCAACAGCCCTCTCTTTCCACTGCCAGGCGGTGAGAGGTGTTGTTTACCCAGAGGCCTGGGGAAGCCCAGGGAAAGTTGGGCCCTGAGGTCTGGGCCAGGAGGGAGGAAAGGAAGGCGGGGAAAGTGGCCCTGGGGGAGAGGAAACAGCTGCGGAAGTAACTATCTGCACACTCTGTCCCTGGCAGGAAATCAGGTTCCAGAGGGTAAGGCCTGCCCCAGTGGGGCTTGGGGCTGAGGGGCTCTCGCACACTCAGTGCAGGGAGCCCAGAAGGACAGAGGCCAGGACAGCTGGGTGCCCTAGCCCTGAGATGCCCTGGAAGCCCTTCTCAGCTCAGGCATGGCCTCTGTGGCCTGGATCATGGCAGCATCTTATCCTCAGTCTCCTGCCTCCACTGATCCCTGTGCTGCCCCTGCCCCCTCTACCTTTCTGCCTCAGTGACAAGGGTCTCGAGCAAATCCAGGCGCCACTCACTGCCCCAGGCTTTCTCTGGCTCCTGTCACCCAGGGATGAAGCCCAGCCTGATCTCCCTGCCCCTGAGTCTAGCTGTAGCCCAGGGCCTGCCTTCTCCTTTCTTTCCTCATCCCCTCCCCAACCCAAGGCTGGCTCTGCCCTGTGGCCGTCACAACAAACAACTTTGTAATCCCAGCACTCTAGGAAGCTGAGCAGGAGGACTGAAAAATTTGAGCCCAGCCCTGTCAACTAAGCATCCTAGTGAGACCCTGCTTGGGGGGGGGATTAAAAAGAGCTGGGGATGTAGCTCAATACCAAGGCCCTTTGACATCAGGTGGGCCACAGACTTGACAGGCAGTTTCCTCCGCTGCCCTGGGCAAAATCCTAGCACGTTGTCTGAATAACTACAAATCCAGAGGTCGCCACAGGGACAGCGCTGCCTGGAATTAGGCAAAGTGCTCACAGCTCACCCTGACACCCTTGGCTCTGCACCCGGCAGCTATTTGACAGGCACCTGTGTGTGCGGCAGCTGCGCTACTCGGGCATGATGGAGACAATCCGGATCCGCCGTGCGGGCTACCCCATCCGCTACAGCTTTGTGGAGTTTGTGGAGCGCTACCGTGTGCTGCTGCCTGGTGTGAAGCCAGCCTACAAGCAGGTACGGGTGGGCGAAGTGCACAGGTCATGTGGGGAGCACCCTGTTCTGGCAGAGCAAGTGCCTGAGTCCCACCTTAGGATGGTGAGCTGAGCATGGCACCCCAAACATATTGGGACACATGGCGGGACTTCTGAAGCTGTGGCGGGCATGATCAGACTGAGACAGCCATGAGTGGTGCTGCAAAAAGTGGGGACCTGGCTGGGGTCCTGCAGCCAGTCAGGCAGAGCTGTGGCAAGGACACAGGGTCTTCTAACTGGCAAAGCTGCCTATGCTCTTGTACCCCTCTCCAGGGAGACCTCCGGGGGACATGCCAGCGCATTGCTGAGGTGGTGCTGGGCACCTATGATGACTGGCAGATTGGCAAAACCAAGATCTTTCTGAAGGTGAGCACAAGCTCTGTTGGGGTCTGCCCTGGGACTGTGAACTCCCACCCTGGGTGGGGCCTCACGTCACAGCCCTGACCGCAGGCTGGAAGCTGAAGGCCTGAGCCTTTCTATCTGGTAGGTGCATAGCTGGAGGTCTGAATTCAAATCCTCATCCTGTATTTATCAGCAGGGCCTTTGGCCAAGTCACTGGCTATTGTTGCCTTCTTTTCTTATCCAGAAAGTGGGATGGTCTTGGGGTGGGGTCTAGAGTGGATCTCAGGTCCCTTCCTGTGGTTTCCTGCTGGGCAGGCTTCTGCAGGCTGTGGTCAGCCCATCCGTGGCTCTGTCCTAGGCACTCTGAGCTCAGCAGCTCGAGCTCCTGGTGCCCACAGCTGCCTGGGTCATGGAGAAGGGACAGGAAGCAGGGCCTGGGGAGTCATGGCTTGGAGAACGTGCCAGGAGTGGGCCATGCCAGGGCAGCTGCAGTGGGGAAGCGTGGCCTTCCCCATTTCCATTTCTACTGTGCTAGATCTCACCCTGTCCTGACTGGCTGGGCTCCTGGCTGGTATGGGGCAGGGCCAAGGGCTAAGACAGCTGTAGGGGCATGGGGCTTTTGAGGACCAACTGGTCTTATTCCTTGGAGCTGAGGGGCTGTGAGTCAGTCCTTCACCTCCTCAAGCCCTCATTTCCTCAATGAGTACATGTGCCGATGCCCCCATCTCTGTAACCCGTAAGTGCCACCATGTCTGAGTGGGGCATTTCTCTGTGATCTCACTTATCCCAGTAGCCCTGTGGCATAGGGCATACCCTGGTCACACATCATAGGCCCAGACAGGAGGTGTGCATGGCCCTTGGTCAGGCTGCTGGGAAGCAGAGGGCAGGGCTTCCAGCCTGCATGTGATGGACTCAGGCCCCAGAGTCAGCAGAGCTGAGCAGGACGGGAGCCTGGTGGGGTCCAATGCCAGAAAACTCAGAGACGTGTCCCCATTCTTCCCTTTCTAGGCTTTTCAGGAAAGGCACTGTTTTGAGAATAAAGATCTAAGTCTCATTCACTCACTTATTCATTACTCATGATGAAGTCCTAGACCCATAGCTTCTCTCCACCATGCTCTGTATGTCTGTGACAGTTTGATAGACTGTCACAGTCCTCTATGAGACTCACCTGCCCAGAGGCAGGGCCCTGTCTGCCTGGGCTGCTGAGACACTACCCTGGAATTGAACTCAGTGCTGGCTTACAAAGTGATACATGCGTGTCTACTGAGTAAGCCAAGGAAGCCATCCAGCTTGAGTAAGACTTGGGAGGAGTGAGTAGGAGAACAGGCCGGAAGTATCAGCAGGACCTGGATCCTGTGGCATCTTGAGTGACAGGGTGAAGAGCCCATGTTGGGCCAGGTGCTGTGTGGTGTCACTGGGTCCCCATCACTGGCTGAATGTAAGGGAGGACCAGGGCAGGGGTAATAGGAGCCAGGAGACCCCTATCGAGGGGGCTGCTCTCAAGATTCTGGTGAGAGTCCAGGGGCCAGCCCTGGGGAGTGGGCAGCAGAGGGCCGTGGCAGAATGGCGACAGGATGAAGCCAGGATACATGAGGGTTGGGTCCTCTCCTCCCATCCTGTGAAATGAAGCCCCTTGTGCTCCTTTGGGTGAGGCCCTGGGAAACAGGCAGAACTTTTAGTGGTGTCAGAGGCCACCCCATGGGGTATGGCCTGAGCAGGCCTGGGAGCTTGCAGGGCCCTGGGAGTTGGGCTCTGGAAGGAACTGAATATTCACCTGGGTTGAGCAGTGCCCTTGGAGGAGATATCACTGGGGGCGCTCCTTCTAGGACCACCATGACATGCTACTAGAGGTGGAGCGGGACAAGGCCATCACTGACAGGGTCATTCTCCTCCAGAAGGTCATCCGGGGGTTCAAAGACAGGTATGTGTCCTGACCAGCTCCTGTACCTTGGCCTGCATGCACACACATTTGTGTGGCCGCTGCCCTCTGACATGAACACCAGTGTGGGGACTTGCCTGTCATCCGCCAGACTGGAGATAACTGTGATGTGGAAGAGCTGCCTACTGCATAGAAGCAGAGTATCAAGACTCCTTAGAGTCAGAGACATGGGCTGTCACTCCAGCCTCAAGTCTTAACTTCCTCATCCCTAAAATGAAGGAGTTTGATGGTTCCAAGTTCCCGGTTTTATATTAGTTCATTTACTATTTGCTCACAGCGTACTCATTTAACACCGGCCTTTTGAACATTTGCTTTAATGAGTCGATGCATGGAGCTTGTGAGGCTGGAATGGCAGGCACTAAGCTACCCCCTTTCCAGAGGAAGATGCTAAGGCACAGAGAGATTCTGTGCCTCGCCCAAGGTTGAGGGGTCACCGAGAAGGTGGAGTGCACACTCCTGATTCTAGAGCCCCAAATGCTGGCTGCCTCCAGGCTCAGCTCTCTGCCCTGCGATTCGCCCTGTCAATACTGCTTCCAGGTCCAACTTCCTGAAGCTGAAGAATGCTGCCACACTGATTCAGAGGCACTGGCGGGGCCACCACTGCAGGAGGAACTATGAGTTGGTGAGCCTCACCATGCCTGCACCTCGTGCCCAGGCTACAGACCGCTGCCCTGAGATGGTGCACCCCAGCCAGCCCCTGGCTTCCGTCCAGCCACAGCCCGGGTTGAGTTCTGTGGCTATTTTCATCTGGTCAACAACATTCATTGCTTTTCTTCTGGAATGTTTTGGTGGGTTGTGAATACACTGGGGTTATCAAAGAACTCAAGCAGCCAGAATGGCCAGGTCACCAGGGGCCTCTTCAGGGAGCCTGGACTTGGACAGGACAAGAAGCAAGCTGATGGTCACAGCCCCTGGTCTAAGGCTGGGATCCCTTCAGTTCCATCTCAGAGAGTCAGGGCTGCACTCTGGGCCCCCGCCCCACCCCCTGGTCCCAGGGAGGCAGCCTGAAGTGCAGGGGCTCTCCTCCTTCTGGCAGAGATGGCAGGGCTAGTGTGCCAGCAGAGGCCATTGCAGTGGGGGCTCCTGTGGCAGGGCTGTCCAGCTGGGCACAGTTCTGAGCACATCTTGTCCTTGCAGATGCGCCTGGGCTTCCTGCGGCTGCAGGCCCTGCATCGCTCCCGGAAGCTGCACCAACAGTACCACCTGGCCCGCCAGCGCATCATAGAGTTCCAGGCCCGATGCCGGGCCTATCTGGTGCGCAAGGCCTTCCGCCACCGCCTCTGGGCTGTACTTACTGTGCAGGCATATGCCCGTGGCATGATTGCCCGCAGGCTACACCGGCGCCTCAGGGCCGAGGTGAGGGCCCCAAAAGTATGTGCAGCCAAGGCCTGGGGGGACCTGTGGCTATTCTGCCCTGAGAAGTACATAGGACTGGGTTCAGATCCCCCACCTACCTTTGCAACCAAAGGCAGGACTGGGGCCCCAGGCTCCCCTGTGCATCTTCAGGAGGCCATGGCTTTGGGGTCCCATGTCTCCACCTATGTGTGACCCTGAGAACTTCTCAGCTGCCTGTTTCCATAGCTTTCAAAGTACTTGACACAGTCACTCACAGGTCCAGAACTCAGGGCCGGGGTAGAGGTGGCAGCAAGTGCTGTGACATATACGATCTCTGATGTTCACTTGGCTTTCTTGCCTCAGTACCTGCGGCGCCTTGAAGCAGAGAAGATGCGGCTGGCAGAAGAGGAAAAGCTGCGGAAGGAGATGAGCGCCAAGAAGGCCAAGGAGGAGGCGGAGCGCAAGCACCAGGTGGGCGGAGGGCGGGGGGCCTCCGGTGGCCGCTGCCAGGCCCTTGCTCTCTGCATCGAGAGCCCCTTGTCCCCTGTCCCTGCAGCACTCCTCCCTTCCCAGGCCCACTAGGTACGCCTTGGTTGAACTTTGCTTTGGGGCTGGGTCTGAGCCAGGCGAAAGAATGGAAGGAAGGGCTCCAGGGAAGAGGGTCTGCGCCCCACAGTGCCTGCCATGCTGGCCATGAGAGCCCCGCTCCAGGGATAGCACCAAAGCCCATAAGCGCTACTGACACATGAAAGGTGGCTCATCCCGGTGGCACAGTGCTGTAAGAGCGAAGCGCACACTGGCTTCTGAAGCCTGAGTGAGCAAAAGGGTACCTAACACCTCAGGATGATGTGCATAGTGTTGATTACATGTTAGGATGGCAATCGGGAGTAAGTATTAAGTGACATTATTAAGGTAATTTTACTTCCTTTTACTTTTTAAAATGTGACTGTCACTGATGCAGCTCATGGTGTATTTCTTACGGCATTTGTCCAGAGCCCCAGCCCCAAGGCCATGGACTGCAGGGCTGGTGTGGTGTGAAGCGGGTGCTCGGGGGCTGCCCCCAGCTCGGCTCTGAGGATGGAATGGGCAGTTTTACCACCTGGGTTTGTCCAGGGCCCACAGGCCAAGTCCAGTGCAGCAGCCAGCACGGGTCGTGGAGGCAGTCCCTCTGTGTGCTTGGGTGGCCCTGCTGGGCCCTCAGGCACCCCAAGGAGAGCGTGTCTCCGGGTGCTGTGGCACAGATGCCCATCCTGTCTCCTCTGTGTCACCCACCTCCAGGAGCGCCTGGCCCAGCTGGCCCGTGAGGATGCGGAACGGGAGCTGAAGGAGAAGGAGGAGGCACGGCGGAAGAAGGAGCTGCTGGAACGAATGGAGCGGGCCCGCCACGAGCCCATCAACCACTCGGACATGGTGGACAAGATGTTTGGCTTCCTGGGGACTTCGGGTGGCCTGCCAGGCCAGGAGGGCCAGGCACCAAGTGGCTTTGAGGTACCAGGCTGGGGTCAGGGCCCAGCCTTCCCTCCCCTGGTGTTCCTTTGCATGAAAACCCCCTGGGCCCTTGGAGCTGAGGGCAGGAATGATGACCAGGACAGGGGACTACAGGTACCTGCCAAGTGAACTTGCACCAGTCACTGTTGCCCTCCAGGGCTGTCCGCAAACATCTTTCCATTCACTGTTGGGGGCTTATGTGTCAGCTCTGTTTGGGCACTGGACACCAACAGAGCCCCTGCCTCATGGAGCAGGAGCTGGCTCTCTGGGGACAGGCTGGGGAGTGGCAGCCCAGCCCACCTCAGCCCTGGGCCTTCCTGCCTGGGGCCAGGCCCACACAGCAGGGATCCCTCTGTGTCCATCAGGACCTGGAGCGAGGGCGGAGGGAGATGGTGGAGGAAGACTTGGATGCAGCCCTGCCACTGCCTGACGAGGACGAGGAGGACCTCTCCGAGTACAAATTCGCCAAGTTTGCTGCCACCTACTTCCAGGGCACGACAACACACTCCTACACGCGGCGGCCGCTCAAACAGCCGCTGTTGTACCATGAGGACGAGGGTGACCAGCTGGTGAGGCCCGCCTGTGCAGGGCCAGGGCTGGGACTGGGGGCTCTTCCAGGGTAGTGGGCCTGGGCCCGAGGGCTAGACCCAGGCTGGAATTTCTCCAGCTCTCTCCCCACACCCCGGGTCATGCCCACAGCTCACGCATGTCTTCAACCCTGGCTCTCCTACATGTGCTCTGCTCCCAGGCGGCACTGGCAGTCTGGATCACCGTCCTCCGGTTCATGGGGGACCTCCCAGAGCCCAAGTACCACACAGCCATGAGTGATGGCAGTGAGAAGATCCCCGTGATGACCAAGATCTATGAGACCCTGGGCAAGAAGACGTACAAAAGGGAGCTGCAGGCCCTACAGGGCGAGGGGGAGGTGAGGCCAGGGTGCCCCTAGCAGGTGGCCCTCCGCGGCCAGTGAGGATAATGCCATTGGCAGAAGTGCATCCTACAATTTTCCCTGCCTCAGTGCTCACTCCCAGCCTGCCTGCCTTTGTTTACTTGTGGGAGCAAAAGTATGCAAGTTTTGCAAACTGTAAAGTTCTGAGCATAACTGAGGGGCCACGTGGCAGAGCAGACAGGCTTTGTCATCAGAACCAGCACCTGTGGTAACTTGGCAGGGACCCAGGCAGCTTGCTGTCCTCTCTCCTGTTGGATGGGGGTGGCCGTGTGCGGTGTCCCGTAGATATCAGTGTGGAGGCGTGATGGTCCCCAGCATAGCCCCACTGCCCAGTGACTGTGTCCTTGCTGTGCAGTCATCTGGCCCTGACCTTTGTTGGTCCTGCAGGCCCAGCTCCCTGAAGGGCAGAAGAAGAGCAGCGTGAGGCACAAGCTGGTACACTTGACCTTGAAGAAGAAGTCTAAGCTCACAGAGGAGGTGGGAGCAGACCGGGTCTGGCATCTTAGCGCAGTACCACAGTACCGAGGGGGAGGGCTAGGCTGTCACCTGGCTGAGCTGGGACCCACAATAGTGGACAACACTACCTGTCCCCAAGGGCATGACAATGGTAGATGCTTGGGTTTAGCAGAGTGCGCAAAAGGTAGTGAATGAGGCTGGGCTCTGTAGCAGAGGGGCTTCCTAGAGCAGGAAGCCAGAGCTGGCGAGGGTCTGGTGGCAGATGGTGGGGGGGGTGCTTTCTGCCAGTCATCCCACATGGCATTTGATGTGAGGATCTTTCAGACGTGGGAAATTTGTGGCGGTCACAGGCTCCTGGAAGGAGCACCAAGACCACTGGTGGCTTTGAGCCCCTCACTCGGTCCCCTCACCTTCTGAGCTCTATTCTGGCCCTGGTGCTCCAAGCCCCCTGCGCTGCAGGGATCCACATGGGACAGACATAGGCCATGGCATTCATGGTCAGCTCCCCGACCCTGCCCACACACCCTGGAAATTCCTCCTCCTTCCCTGCCTGGTAGTTCCCTTCTCCAGGAAGCCTCTTTTTAATCCCTTACTTCAAGGTCAGGGGCTCCTGTGTTGCCTTTGCCCTTGTCCTGTCCTCTCTAGTCTCATAGCCACATAGAGTCAAATTTAAATCCCTGCTCTATACTGCTCTATAACAAGGGGCCTAGGCGAGAAAGTGCCTGGTCTGCGGGGCCTTGGGAGGAGGGTGCAGGACCTTCCCCACCCATCCTATCTGCACCACACACTCCTGCCCTCACTTCTCACTGTGCCTGCAGAGTGGGCTGCTGCTGTGTCTATGTGGGACCAGGGAGGGCCACTTATCCCCAGAGAACAAGGTTTGGGGCCTGAATGAGCAACAGTTGGAACCCAGGCTGCACTCTGGGGCCAGAGATGTCCGAGGGGCCCATCCCAGCGAAGTGGGGTCTCAGAACCCGAGGGGCAGGGCCCACCTGGCTGGAAGGGCCTGCCTGGGCTGGGGGGCTGGGTGCAGGGCATCGAGCAGGCTGCAGATGAGCTGTATCTCAGAAGCTGGTGGGCTTATTCCTGGGCTGTAGGGTGAGGCCGGGACCCTGGCTGGCAGGGGCAGCACCCTGAACTTCGCCAGCCCTGGTCACACCTGTCCCCTTGGTCCAGGTGACCAAGAGGCTGCATGATGGGGAGTCCACAGTGCAGGGCAACAGCATGCTGGAGGACCGGCCCACCTCCAACCTGGAGAAGCTGCACTTCATCATCGGCAACGGCATCTTGCGGCCCGCGCTGCGGTCAGTGCCAGAGCACAGCAGGGCCACACCGGGTGCCCCACTCCTGACGGGGCCCGAGGCCTTTAGGCTGCTGAGTGTGGCACCATCACCTTGGCAACAGAGGGAGCCCAGAGGTCTGTGTTTGGCTCTGTGGCTGCTGGTCCTCCAGGCCTGGGCTGCAAAGGGAAATAATCGTGGTGCTGTCGGAAGGCTGATCCTGCCTTTTCCTGGCTTCGGTCTCTCAGTCTGTAAAGTCAGTGGGTCAGGTTGGAAACTCCACTGGAAGGAGGTAGGCTTTCACTTGTCTCCAATAGGCTGGGAACCAAAGCCACACTTACTTACTTACTTAAAGGATTGCTCTTTTGGCTGTCATTTTAATTCTTTGGGTATTTAAAATGGCCATTGTTTTATGAAATGAGTAGGATAGTGCTCAGGGTGTGTGTGTGTGTGTGTGTGTGTGTGTGCATAATGCATGTGCACAATGTTTGTGTTCCCGTAAAAAGCTGACAACTTCAAGAATGTATTGAAGTCTGTTGGCCCATGAACTCTCAAAATATGAAAGCCACAGAAGCAAATAATCCTTCTTCCTGGCCTTGGAAAAGGAAGACAAGCAGGCACGCCCCCGGTGGTCCGTCCCTGTTTCTGGGTGTGCAGAACTCAAAGCCTTGCAGATGGAAGAAGTGTCACTGCAGCAGTGACCAGGGCAGCTACCCTTCACCAGAGCCTCACTGTGCCATGCCCTGTCCTAGTTTTTTCTTTTTTCTAAGCCTCAGCTTATTTTTCTGTACAGAAATCATGGAAGGATCATTTTCAAATGAAAATAAAAAATTACTTTCCTGGTTTTAATTTCACTGCTGAAATACCCAAGCATTAGGACTTAGGTGCGCGTCCCTGGTCCTCCTGCTCCCAAGACCCCTTGGCGTCGGTAGGAGCTGTCCCCACTGGCCTGACTGTGGGCTGGGGTTGGAGAAGCAAATTTGTCTGTGGGGTTGGGGGGCGGGGATGAGGAAGAGCTGGGCTGGGCTTCTCAGTACGGCCTTTGTGCCGAGTCTCCAGACAGGGCCTGGCTATGGCCTCTGGACTGGAGTTGGGAATGGGCTTCTGCTTGGTCTTGTCCCTTTGGACAAGGCTGTGGTGCCCGTCAGTGCTCCCTTTGGTGGCTGCTCAGCTGGGGCTCCCCATCTGGCCCCATGCTGACTCCTCCAGAATGGACCTGGGCAAGTGGCACCAGCTGGCTAGGAGGGGTCGGCTGCTCCTCTGAGGTGACCCCTCCCACACAGGGATGAGATCTACTGCCAGATCAGCAAGCAGCTCACCCACAACCCGTCCAAGAGCAGTTATGCCCGTGGCTGGATCCTTGTGTCACTCTGTGTGGGCTGCTTTGCCCCCTCAGAGAAGTTTGTCAAGGTAAGAGAGGGTCTGGGATAGAGGGGTCCTGTCCCAGTGCTGTGGGAAAGAGCCCAGCAGGGGCACCCGCCCAGCCCCAGCCTGGAGTCCCTCAGCCCATGAAATCACCACTTGGCTCTGTCCTCTCCTAGCCCTGCTCTAGTTAGGTTGAGTCCTAGGCCCTGGGCCATGTCTTGGGCAGGCACCTCAATCCAACTCAGTGTCAGGCCTGGGTGCTGGCTGGTGCTGTGAGGGTGAAAGGGGTGGTGTCCATCTAGACTGGGTCCCAGAGGACACTTCTGCTGGGCAGAGGGATAGTGGCCTGTGTGGGGTAGGGCATGAGGCCTGGAGGACCGCAGGTGGCACTGGACTGTGTGATTCTGTGGCCCAAGCACAGTTCCTGGCCTTGGTCCAAGCACCATGGAGAACCACAGCTGGAGAGAGAAGGGTGGGCAGCCTGGCTGCCTCGATGAGCAGTCTCGAGTGTGCCACTATGGTTGGTGGGGAGGCTGGCTGAGGGGAGGGGCTGCCTTACCTGGTTTGCCCACATAGTTCCTTCGGAACTTCATTCATGGCGGACCACCTGGCTATGCCCCCTACTGTGAGGAACGGCTGAGGAGGACCTTCGTCAACGGGACACGGACACAGCCACCCAGCTGGCTGGAGCTGCAGGTGACCCTGCAGTGCACGCACTGTACTCTGGTGCCCCCCAGTGCTCCCCACTTTGGGATCCAGCAGTTCCTCAAGTGCCCACCCTCAAATTCCAGAATCCAGGCCCCTGGGAACAGGACAGCCCTCAGGGGATTGTCAAGTCCCATGTGCCAGAGACTTGGGTGTGGGGACACCATCAGCATCACAGCGGTTTGATGGCCACACGAGGGTGATGGTGCTATCCTGCAGTCTCATGATGGCTGTGTGGAAGGAGTACAGAAGTCCTGGCTGTGACAGCACCTGACATCCCAACCAGGGCTCTGGGGGAGAGGCCTAGTGGTCCCTCCAGGAGGCTTGTGGAGCAGGGCACAGGTCCTAGGGCTTGAGGGTAGCTTTAGCCCCACAGAGAAGGTGGAACTTGAGTACTGAGTAGGCTGGTCTAAAGTGACCTGTAAACCTCTTGGTCCCCTCAAGGCCACCAAGTCCAAGAAGCCCATCATGTTGCCTGTGACATTCATGGATGGGACCACCAAGACCCTGCTGACAGACTCAGCAACCACAGCCAAGGAGCTGTGCAATGCCCTGGCTGACAAGATCTCTCTCAAGGACCGGTTTGGGTTCTCACTCTATATCGCCCTGTTTGATAAGGTACGACGACCTGCAGTACCATCTTCTGGTGCCATCGGCAAGGCCACTGGCTCTGTCCCAGTGTGCTGCTTGCTGGCTTAGGTGACATCCAGCAGGTATCTTAGGCCAGGGGTAACCTGAATCGGTCTGGCTCACTAGGTTGGCAGAGTGCTCTCAGGCACCAGGGAGAAACTCGGCAGCAGAGACCTAGGCCCCCTAACGTGGTGTGTGCTCAGGCTGAAGGAGTGCTCCCAGCCCTGCTCCTGGATGCCACCTGGAGAGGGAGCTCCATACTGGCTTGCTGTTCCTCTTGTCCTCCACCAGTTGGTATGAGGGCCACCTCCAAAGGATTGTTGTCTAGCTGCCGCCAGCAGGCTTTCCCACCGGGTTGGCCTGAGGCCTTAGGGCTTTCACCTCGACTTGGTCAGTCCAGGGACAGAGCTTGTGGCTGGGCACGGTTCCCCTGGATCTCTTGTACACACCCATGTTTTCAGTGGCAGTTTCTCCACAAGTTTCATCAGGATGTACACTAGGAGATGGGGATTTCCACATAACTGCCCGATTCTGGGTCTAGGAAGATAATAACTAAGCATACCAGCTGCAAGCCCACGGCTGGGCCTGCAGTTCCCTTTTGTGTCTGCCTCCTGGGGACCCAGGGCATGTTTCGGCTTCTCCTGACACAGTTTATGGCTCCTCAGAGTCTCACCCTGACCCTGTGTCTGCCGCTCTTCCTCTGTGTCTGCAGGTGTCCTCCCTAGGCAGTGGCAGTGACCATGTCATGGACGCCATTTCCCAGTGTGAGCAGTATGCCAAGGAGCAGGGCGCCCAAGAGCGCAATGCACCATGGAGGCTCTTCTTTCGCAAAGAGGTCTTCACACCCTGGCACAACCCCTCAGAGGACAACGTGGCCACCAACCTCATCTACCAGCAGGTGGTTCGAGGGGTCAAGTTTGGAGAGTACAGGTGTGAAAAGGTAAGTGAGAAGGACTCTCCTGCACTTGCTTGGCCCTCAGTTACCTGTTTCCAAATCTGGGCTTCGTGTGACTGACTGTGACCCTCTAACAGCTAGTGCTAAGATAGGACTGAGTGCAGTTGGAAGTTCTCCTGGCTTCTCTGGGATTCAGCCCCCATTCCTCATAGGGGTTGTGAGGATGCGGTACTGGGGCAGGGGCAGGGGCAGGGGCTTTAAAGAACATCCTTGGGGACTTCCAGCCCCTTTCTGTACTGCCCCTGCTGCTGGAGTCCTGGGAGGGGGTCCCAGGTACGAGGCATCACTAGGTGTCACTCACCAGCCCAAGCAGAGAAAGGCCAGGGTCTAGCACCTGCCTGGCGCTCTGCAGTCTTGGCTGTCCCCCAGATGCACAGCCCTGATGGCGAAGATGGTGATGGGGAATCAGCCCATCGCTGACCCTTCCCGGTGTTCCAAAGCCTCTCCTTCTTCAGAACAGGTGCACCGCCTTCTCTCATTTATTAGCCCAATTGCTGTCACACGGGGCTGAATGTTTGGTGGCTGGCCTCTTTGGGTCATTTCACCGGCCTCCGGTCAGAGTCCAGCTCTGCCAGTGCAGCAACAGCTGGACCCAGGAGAAGGCAGGAGAGTGGCCTTGCCCTTAGGAAGCTCACAGGTCCCCTGAGCATATGAGAAGCAATAAGAACACAGGGTCCCAAAGAGCAGGGTCCCAGACCTAAAGGAGGCAGGGCTGGGAAAGGGCCTGGGCTACCAATAGTCTAGAAGAATGTCCCAAAGGGGAATGGGCCACCAGTGTGACTACATCTCCTCCCCTAGGAAGATGACCTGGCCGAGCTGGCCTCCCAGCAGTATTTTGTGGACTATGGCTCAGAAATGATCCTGGAGCGCCTCCTGAACCTTGTGCCCACCTACATCCCTGACCGCGAGATCACACCCCTGAAGACGCTTGAGAAGTGGGCCCAGTTGGCCATTGCTGCCCACAAGAAGGTAGGAAGACCAGGAGAGGGCTTGGAGGAGGGTCAAGACCCAGGCCATCAAGGTCATGGTTCCCTCGGCAGATGTTTGTCTGAGGAGCTTCTGGGGCTAGGACCTCCTGCCTCCCAGCTCTTTCTCTACCTGAATGTCAGTTACTGGTGTGTTCTCTTTTGCTGGGCTGGGTACCAGGGATGCAAAGCAGACTCAGACCCAGTCCTGCAATTCCTGCAGAAGCCCGAGGCTGTGGGTAGTGGGGCGATGCCCCCCTGGCTTTGTACCAGCTGCTTACAGAGCTGTTTGCCAAGAACAACTGTGCAGGAGTGGAGGGAGGAGGTGTCTAGGAAATGTCCCTTCATTTGCCTGAAGGACCCCAACCACTTGCCTGCTCAGCCACTCTAGACACAGTCTCCTACACCCCTTACTCAGCAGTGGAGCAGCAGTTCCTTCCTCAGCTAAGGAACCTGCCCGAGGGGGAGAGGGGCATCCAGGTGGGGAAGGGCTGGGACCCTGGCTGTGGCAGCAGGGCCACCTCCAGTGCCCCCAGATGCACAGTACTGATCTGTGCACATCTGCTGTGCAGGGTCCCGGGGCACCCCTGCCCCTCGCCCAGCCAGCTCATTCCTCTCCCTCACCAGAGCCCCCTTCGCTCCCTAGTTATCTCCCTCCAAGCCCACTTGCTTGCTCAGAGCGTGTCCAGCACCAGCATCTCTACCCTTGCGTGACCCTCCCCCCGCATCCCTCTCTCTGTCTTTGTTCTTTGTCTGTCTCTGTCTGTCGGTTTGTTTGTTTCGCCCCTGCCTCTCTCCCATTTTTTGTCTGACCACCCCCTGAAGCCTTTTACTCTGCTGTGGTCTCCATCTTCAGCCTCCACCTCTGTGTGTGTGTCCTTGGGGTTTGTGAAGTCAGCTTTCTCCTTGCTGGGACACAGTACCAGACACACACACAACCTAAAGGAAAATGGTTTAATCTGCCTTGTGCTGTAAGGGGAGCCAGTCCATGGTCAGCTGGCTCCAAGGTGGCAGCATCATGGCAGAAAACTAATCCATTCTTGGGGGTCAAGAAGCAGAACGGGGGAGCAACACCAGAGAGGAGGGGCAGAGGGAACAGACACAGATGCCCAAGGCCACACCTGCACAACCCCCCAGACGCCCACCAGGTGGAGGCCAGAGCCAGTCCAGCTGACGCTCTGCCCTACCTTCGTGAACATGACCTGTGGCATGTACAAGACGCACGTGACCTATACTGGGTGTGCACTGTTGTTCCCATGTTCACTTTATTCTGGAGACACAGTCATGAATGGGACAGAAACTACTTCTGTCATTTTGGAACCACAGCTGAGCTGTCTCTCCTCTGGACCGCAGCTCCCTGGTGTGTGTGTGTGTGTGTTGGGGGCGCTGCCTTAGTAAGGCACTACAGCACAAGAGCACATCTCAGGTCTGGGCCTGCGAGTCCAAGATCAGGCTGGTCTCTCCTTCGGCCCTCTCCTTGCTTGCTGATAGCTGTCCATCCCTGCTCCCATGTGGTCTTTCTTTTGTGCTCACCAATATCTGTGTCCGGGTTTCCTCCATTGCCGCCTCCTCCACCTCTTCTTTCTCCTTCTTTGCTAGGTATTGAACCCAGGGTCTTGCACATGCTAGGCTAGCATTCTACCACTAAGCTACATCCCAGCTCTTTGAATCTTTTTGAGACAATCTGAGTTTCCCAGCCCAGCCTCAAACTCGTGGTCTTCCTGTCTCAGTCTCCTGAATAGCGTGGATTACAGCATACTCCCAAATTCCCTCTTCTAAGTACACTAGGCTTACTGGATTAGGACCCCAACCTAAGGAGCCTTAACTTTACCTCTTGGAGATCTTTTGTTCAAACACGGTTCCTGAGGAGATAGGACTTCAATGGATGAATTTGAGGTGGGGCCCAGTGCAATAGAAAACATTTTATGCTGAAATCATTTCAAACCTACAGAGAAGTTGCATGTTCAAAAACTTAGAACTGTGGTGCGCACCTCACCTGGATTCTCACTGTTAGCACATCTATGTGTGGTTTTCTCTTTGCATACACAGGTATTCTTTCCTCACACATCTAAGCTTAGGTTGGCAAGCTGGTGAGCACATTCTCAAGCCCTGCGCCCCAAACGCCGGCTGTTCCTGGCGTGGCACTGTCTCGGCTCTCCAAGGCGCACACAGCGCCTCTCATCTGCCTGTGTGCACATGCCATCTGGGCCACACGCTCCTCTAATCCCACCCATGCCACTCCAACCTCATAGAGTCCTTGCGGAGAGTACTTCAGAGAATCGAAACTCTAGCTGGGAGCATAGTGGTGCCCCTTACTGCTCCCCTTAGCTCCAGGATCCAGTCCCTCCTCTGAACTGATGTCTGACTCCTGGATTCACCAGGGCCTTTCTGCAGGAACCCACTCCTGCAGTTGTAGTCATCAGCGGTGCTGGGTCCAGCTTCTCTGTGCCACCCCTCCCCCCACAGTGCCCCACCCTTATCTCTTCTGCAGTGGTGCAAATCTCCGCTGGATCCTGGGCCCTGACTGGGCTCCTTGGCTTTCCTGTTGCTGCTGACCTGGGAGCTCCTGGGGGTGCGGGTGGCCCCTTTGTTTTCTCCAGCTCATGCCTCGGCACCTACATGGGTACAGAGCCTCGCACAGGCTCACTGATGTTGACTGGGTGGGGTGCGAGGTAGCAAGGCCGTGGTGTATAGCAGGGGCTGTAGCTCTGGCCAGCCCTGGCTCTAAGTGGGGACCTCTGGTTTCTAGAGCTTGTACATTATCCTTTGTCCCTCTCTCCTCTCCAGGGGATTTATGCACAAAGGAGAACGGATGCCCAGAAGGTCAAAGAAGATGTAGTCAATTATGCCCGCTTCAAGTGGCCCTTGCTCTTCTCCAGGTTTTATGAAGCCTACAAATTCTCAGGTGCTCCTAGCCTCGTGTCCTCCAGCCCCCATCCCGTGGGCCCCAGGGTTGAGGGTCACAGGCTGGTGGTGACTCCAGGGCATACACTGAATTGAACTCGATAAAAAAAGGAATGGTGAGAGCACCTACTAAAGGGAGGGCAGCTCAGGGCGGAGCAGGCAGCTCTGCTGAAGCTGAGGTGGGTGTGGCTTACACCAACACACATGAGCTGTCAGTACGGGCTGTTGTTACTGAGCATTTGCTCTGTCGCCAGACACCAGGCCAGAGGGAACCCTGGGGCTCTGTTCCCCAACCCTCCCATATCCCACATGGAGACAAGGCAGGGACTGGTCCAGGGCTGCACAGAGACCAATGGCGGGGATGGGGGCCACCCAGAGCTCCTTGATTAGCCCTTTCTTCCCATTGCCCCAGGGTTGTGGACTGCAGGGCAGCCTTGCTCTCTGTGCCTCAGTTTCTTTATGATAACCTGGAAGCCACTATACTCTCCTTGCTTGGCTTGGGATTGGGAGAGGGTGGGCCCCAGAGAAAGGGGTGTCCCTCTCAGAGTTTCTATCATTGTCCCAGGTCCCAGCCTCCCTAAGAATGATGTCATTGTGGCTGTCAACTGGACAGGCGTCTACTTTGTGGATGAGCAGGAGCAAGTGCTTCTGGAGTTGTCCTTCCCAGAGATCATGGCTGTGTCCAGCAGCAGGTAGGAGGGGGAACAGGCAGGCAAATGGGGGAGTGAGGTGCAGGGTGCAGCTGCGAGTCACGATGCAGACACCCTGGGCTGCATGCAGGACAGCTCTCTGTAGACAGACAAGTGCAGCATATGGGCCGAGGGCAGTGAGCCCATATCTGCCCTGAGCTAGCAGGAATATCTCCGGGCATGTCTGCTGGGGCCCGGCTGTCCAGCTCTGACCTGGCACACGGTGTGCAGTGGTGACAGCGAGTGCTCTGTACAGTGAGCCAGCAGCTACTGAGCAGGCCAGTTTAGAACAGGGCCAGTGTCACGAGGGCTTCCTGGAGGAAGTGGCATCTAGGCTGAGACCAAAGGGTGAGCGGGACCCAGAGAGGAACAGGCATGTGGCCAGTGTGGGCTGCTCAGTGGCTGTGTCCCTGTGGTGCTGAGGTGTGTCTGGCCTGGCCATGTGTCACCGGTTGGGCCAGGCCGTGCTGAGGGGCCTCATCTGCCATGGCTGGGCTGCTCACTTGGCTGGCCTTGGTCTCCTCAGGGAGTGCCGTGTCTTGCTCTCGCTGGGCTGCTCTGACTGGGACTGTGCTGAGACTCCCTCCGGCCGGGCAGGACTGACCCCGGCCGGGCCCTGTTCTCCATGTTGGTCCTGCAGGGGAGCAAAACTGACAGCCCCCAGCTTCACACTGGCCACCATGAAGGGCGACGAGTACACCTTCACATCCAGCAATGCTGAGGACATCCGTGACCTGGTGGTCACTTTCCTGGAGGGACTCCGGAAGAGGTCTAAGTATGTGGTGGCCCTCCAGGACAACCCTAACCCTGGTGAGTGGTGGCAGGGGCGTTAGGCACCATGGGCTTTGGCTTTGGCTAGTACTGGGGCTGTTAGTGTCTTGTCACCTGCCCCCCCAGACACGGGCAAGGCAGCATGACTCTGCATTCCCTCTCTCTGTCCCTCATACCTATCTCCTCCACGTTCTCAAATCAGACCAGGGTTCTTCCTCAGTATTTTCCTGAACTCTCTGCCTTCAAATGACAGCAACATAGGGATCACCCTGACTGAGCATGTTTTGAGCCACCTAGGCCCAATCAGAGTGTGAGGAGAGAGGTGGAGCAGGGAGCAAGGAAGCCCAGAGGCTGAGGCAGGAAATGGACAGGGCACATGCAGAACAGAGAGCTGGGATGTCCAGGAAGGGCTGCTTGGTCTGAGAGGAATGGTCTGAGGGAGGGGATGAAGCATAAGGTGAGGAAGAGGAGTCAGGGAGACCAACTCACCACAGGCTTGGAGCTTAGGTTTTCTTCTGAGGGCCACGGGGAGCCACAGAAGGTGGTTTAGGGTCATGACAGGGTGGAGGTGGGATGATAGAGAAGCAGACCCAAGGCAAACAGCTTTGGCTCTTCAGGAGCATAGTGCTTTATAGATCATGAACCCAAATAAAGATGTTGCAACTCAGCCTTTCTCTCTCTCTGCCTCCCATGGCCCTGTTCCTCTCTGCTTTGAAGCTGGTGAGGATTCGGGCTTCCTCAGCTTCGCCAAGGGAGACCTTATCATCCTGGACCATGACACCGGCGAGCAGGTCATGAACTCAGGCTGGGCCAATGGCATCAATGAGAGGAACAAGCAGCGTGGGGACTTCCCCACAGACTGCGTATACGTCATGCCCACTGTCACCATGCCACCACGGGAGATAGTGGTATGTGGCCTGGTGAGGTCGGGGTGGGAGGCTCCTCTTCGGTCCTCTTCTAGCTGTAAGATGGAGTGAGGCACTGTAATAGAGGAATGATCTGCAGCTTCTGTAAAGACATTCCAGGAGGCCACAGGGGACTCCTGCCTTGTAGTGGGGACCTAGGGATGACGTCAGAGGAGGAACTGTGAAGAAGAAGGGGAGAGAGGAGTGTGGCCTGGTGGAAGGGCATCCTTGACCTGGTGGAGAGGGGAGGGGCACAGCAGGAGGGTGAGCCCGGCTCTTCTGGGGAGCCCAGAGCCCTGCACAATGAGGCAGCAGAGGCTGTGAGTCCTAGGGAGGAAAGGAGCTCCCAGGATTAGTGGAGCCATGGGGTCCAGCCCAGGGAACTGATCCTCCCTACCCCCAGGCTGGAAGGCATCGAGCTTTATGTGCTGACTACAGTGGCCCCATCTCTGGGCTTCTAGGCTCTGGTCACCATGACCCCCGATCAGAGGCAGGATGTCATCCGCCTCCTGCAGCTGCATACAGTGGAGCCTGAGGTGCGCAGCAAGCCCTACACACTGGAGGAATTTTCTTACGACTACTTCAGGTGATGGCTGGAGGAGTGGTGATGGTGGCAGCAGCAGCCCCCACCTGTGAGAATGGCCTGGGCAGAGCAGCAGGGGGCAGTTTCTGTCCAACCAGCTGGCCCTTCTGTCAGTCTTGTCTCTCCCTGAGATAGTGACTGGCCTGCCCAGGAGGTCCTGGAGACACCTGATGTTCACCTGTGTGGCTGCACCCTCAGTCCTGCTGGAGACATGGGCAGGAGAATGGGCATCTGTGGCCAGTGCGCCCGGGGTGGGGTAGGCAATGGCTCTCTGCAGGAAGTGGCACCTGCATCCCCGGTGGCAAGGTGGGGCAGGTGTCTCACCTCTTGCAGGTCTTCTTGCCCCACCCCCTGCCCCTATGCTGACTGTCCTTGTCCATGGCAGACCCCCGCCCAAGCACACACTGAGCCGTGTCATGGTGTCCAAGGCCCGAGGCAAGGACCGGCTGTGGAGCCACACACGGGAACCGCTCAAGCAAGCGCTGCTCAAGAAGATTCTGGGCAGTGAGGAGCTGTCACAGGAGGCCTGCATGGCCTTCATTGATATCCACACCGGCAGTGGGTGGGAGGGGCAGGGCAGGGGACAGCAGGGCACCCCAAGGCCACAGGATTCTTGTCTTCTCAGGAGACCATGTATGCAAGGGGGTGCCTTCCCCACTGCCTCCTGTAACCCTGCCATTTGGTTGGCAAATAAGAAATGTTCCCTGTGCTGGGCTAGTTGTAGAGCTAGAGCGGTGACCAGAGCTGCCCCTGGCCTTGGGGCCAACATGCTGACCAGAAACTGGGCTGTGAGGGCCCTGGACAGCACTAAGAGCTGGCCCAGCCTGAGGTGCCCAGGAGGACTTCCTGGTGGAAGCAGCATCTGATCTGAGACCTGGAAGCTGGCTAGAACTTAGCCAGGCAGAGGGAGATGAGTGGGGCGTGGTCACACAGAGGAGAGGCTGTGGCGCAGAGGCAGGGCTGCCTCAAGGCACAAAGTGACTCAGCACCTTTGTGGGCAGAGGTGGGTCAGGGAAGGGCTCCTGGGCCCTGTGAGGAGGCTTAGGTTGTGTCCCCAGGCCGGGAGGGTCTGCCCTGCCCTGTGAGGACCTGGGCTTGGGCCTGTGAGGAGGTGGCGGTGTGTGTGTGTGTGTGTGTGTGTGTGTGTGTCTGTGTGTGTGTGTCTGTGTGTGTGTGTGTGTTTGTGACCGAGTGGCCTGAGGCCTCTTGCCGCCCATCCCCCAAGCCCACATTAGGCCTCACAGGCTCCTTGACGCCTCTTACCTGTGCTGAAGTACATGGGCGACTACCCCTCCAAGAGGGCACGCTCCGTCAGTGAGCTCACTGACCAGATCTTTGAGGGGGCCCTGAAGGCTGAGCCCCTGAAGGACGAGGCCTATGTGCAGATCCTGAAGCAGCTAACAGACAACCACATCAGGTATGAGGTGCAGGTTGCAGCCTCTGGGGCAGTGGGGGCTGCACTGACCTCCTTGGCTTGAGACTGGGACCACCTGCCAGCATCCATGGCAGGCTCCACCCAAGGTCACAGCCCAGTCCCTCCCACTGCCACTCCTGACCCCTGCTGGAGCTTCCTCTGCGCAGCCCTGCAGCCCTGGGGCCTCTGGGACGGCTGCGCTGTGGGAAGTTCTTGCTGGAAATCCTCTTGGGTTGGATCTTTGGGACCTAGAAGATCTCCCCCTTCATGGGGCAGCTTGAGGCGGGAATCCCTGCTCCACCCTTTCTCTTCCGCCTCAAGCTTGTCCTTCTCTTTATCTCCACCTTGTGTACACATCCACCCTGGATCCACGCATCGGCTCTGTTCACACTGGCAAGCGTTTGTGCACACTGCTCTTGGTCATGACCTTTTACCCCTTCCTATGCACATCTAAGTTTGCTTCATCTTCAAAGCCAGGCCAAAGCCACCTCTTGCTAGATGCCTTCCTTGCCCAAGGAGCCCAGGCAGTGCCTGAGGGACCCCAGGGGGGTTAGCTCGTGAGCTCTCCTGGGATCTTCCCAACGGAGTGCTGAGAACTGAATTTCCAGGCTGGTGGGAATGCCTGTCTGTCTCCACGTGGACTTATGGGGATAGCATGTGGACTGGCCTGGGTGGGGACCACACTCTGCAGAGCCCTAATTGGACCTGCCTGTCACAGGGCCCACACATGCAGTCCATGCTGTGCTCAGGTCAGGTGAGGAGCCCAGGGCCCCGGATTCTGACAGTGCTGCTCCTGCAGGTACAGCGAGGAGCGGGGCTGGGAGCTGCTCTGGCTGTGCACTGGCCTTTTCCCCCCAAGCAACATCTTGCTGCCTCATGTGCAGCGCTTTCTGCAGTCCCGCAAGCATTGCCCACTGGCCATCGACTGCCTGCAGCGGCTCCAGAAAGCCCTGAGGTAAAGTTGCCACCCTAAGCATGTGGGTCAAGCTCTTTGGCAATGACAGTATGGCCACATAGCCACAGGAGCCTGTCCCTGAGCCCCTCGTGTATGGGAGGCACACACAGTGCACCCTGGGCCACCTCTAGGCTTTCTCCACAGCCCTCTACTGAGGTGCTGAATCCGCTCTCCCAGATCAGGTCCACGGGGCTCTGCGGGTGAAGTGCTGACCCACTGCAGAAGGGAGCATGGCCAGCACATGGGTTTGTACATCTCTGGTTTTTTCTCTCCCTGGTCCTCGTGGTTCCATGAACCCATCTCCTCCCACCCCATCCTCTCCTGCCCCATTTTCAGAAATGGGTCCCGGAAGTACCCTCCACACCTGGTAGAGGTGGAGGCTATCCAGCACAAAACCACTCAGATTTTCCACAAGGTCTACTTCCCAGATGACACCGATGAGGTGAGGGGCCCTGGCTCCCAGAGTGGGGTGCCCTTGGCAGACCCACAGGGTGGCCCTGACACATCACCTGCCAGCCACACTGTTGCCTCACCTTCCTGCCCCTTGCTCCAGTCAAGAGCACAGAGGCCTCAGTTGCCTGAGCCCACTTTCCTGCATGCAGGACCCTGCCCCCTTTGTCCCTCTACCCACTGTGGTCAGGGTCCTTTCTACCTTGGTCCTATCTTCCAGAGGTTGAGTTGTCCTGCTGTCTTCTCCTCCCAGCATCACCAGACTCTCAGGTCCTTCATCTGTCTGCACAGCTTCTCCCCTCCCTCTGTGGAACTTGCCTTTCTTCTTCCTCAGGCCTCTGTCCTCATCATTGCATTTCTGACTGCCTTGGCCTTTGCCATCACTCATATTTGTGCGGCCGGGTGCAGAACTGGGAGGTCAAGGCCAAGTCTAAGTTCTGCTCAAAAAGTGAAGGACAATGAGATCTGAGGGGACTGAGGCAGGAGTTGGTTTTCCCTTTCTTGGAACTGCTATGCTCATCTCTGGAGCTGGGGAGAAGCCCCTTGGGAGGGAGGGTGTGTTGAAGCAGAGAGACCTGTGTTGGGAGGTCCAGGTGTTGGGGAGTTCTAGGCAGAGAGGCAGGGAGGGGAGGGCCAGGCCTGCAGGAGCCAAGTGAGCCCCGTCCCCAGGCCTTTGAGGTGGAGTCCAGCACCAAGGCCAAGGACTTCTGCCAGAACATAGCCGCCCGGCTGCTTCTCAAGTCTTCCGAGGGCTTCAGCCTCTTCGTCAAAATTGCAGACAAGGTGGGTCCCTGGTTGGCTTCCCGTTAGCTGCTTGCCAGCTATTGGGAGTTTTTCTGGGCCTTTTGGGAGGGCAGACACGGTGGCATTGGACATGCCCCTGTGCCCACCTCCTGACACCCCATCTGTTCCCCTTAAAGCGAGGGCCACGCCTCAATCTGCCTCCTGAGGCCTTGTACACAGGCTCACGCTCTTAGGGAGCCGTGTGCCCAGGAACCGCACATTCTGAATGTACCAGGATCCTGTCATGTGAGATTGAAAAACATGGCGAATGCTTAAATTCAAGTTTTATGACAGCAAGAGACCCAGGGCCTCCCTTGCAGCAAACTTGTTCCATTCTTTCCTGCCACTTTCGGAAGCCCTTGTGGAAGTCCTCTTTCTCGGGTGCTCATTTGCACTCTTGTGGCTGCCCTGATGTCTTGAATCAGTTCCGAGCGTTTGCTTTTGTGGTCATTCTCACTTTGAGGAAGGCCAGGAGCCGCACGGTGCCAGGTCAGGTGGATGTGGTGGCTGAGGACGCGCTGTGACGTGCGCGAGAGCCTGCTTCTGGCTGGACGGTGCGCAGCAGCAGTAGCCGCTGTATTTTTGGACACTCACACAAGAGGACTGCCAGGAATGCTTCAGAAAGTGCAACAAAGAGATAGATAAGTGTGTCTCATGCAAGGAAGAGTATTTTGAGGGTGACTAATGGCCATGTGCTTTCACTGTAATAAACTTTAAAAATTAAACACATGCCATATTTTTTGATCAGCCCTTCTACTCTGGAAATTCACTCTCATTGGTTCCTCAGCTGCCAAGCTGGGGCCACTTAACCTTAGAAATGAGCCTCAAAGGGCAGTGTGACCTTTCTCCCTGCATAGACCGCAGACCTAGGGCCCAGAGAGCTAAGTAGCTAATCCGGGACCGCACGCACAGACTCAGACCCAGGTGCATCTGCCTCAATGTAGCGCCCACCGCCTCTGTCCCTGGCAGCCTCACCTGTGGAGCTGTGAAGGCGCGGCCCAAGGGAAAGCTCCCCGATCCTGTGCAGCAGGAGTAGATGCATCCTCTGGTTGTGCATGGTGATTCTGTGTACATCCAGTTCACTACTGTCCCTGTGCCAGGACCCAAAGGTGACCCCAGTGAGGCCCTGTGCCCAGGAAAGGTCAAAGTCTGATATTTGGAAAGATGTGATGTATGGAAACCCCTTCAAGTTGGGAGAGTTCTTTCTGAGAAGGGACCACTTGGCTGGAAATGTCAGAAAAGCCGGAATTGTTGAACTAAAAGGGATGCACTGCAATGACATATCCACAGGTTATCAGCGTCCCTGAGAATGACTTCTTCTTTGACTTCGTTCGACACCTGACAGACTGGATAAAGAAAGCACGGCCCATCAAGGACGGTAATGAGGCTGGGTGCTGGGGTCCCCTGAAGCCCAGAGAGGGCAGGTACTGACTTAGGGCCTTGCTGCCGGGCCCACTTGTGTGGGACCCAAGCAAAGACCTCGTCAGGGAGAGCACTGGATGCCCTCTATGCCGGGACTTTCTGGGTGACCAGCTGCCCTGTACCATAGGAATCGTGCCCTCGCTCACCTACCAGGTGTTCTTCATGAAGAAATTGTGGACCACGACAGTGCCAGGCAAGGACCCGATGGCTGATTCCATCTTCCACTATTACCAGGTGAGCTTCCCAGAGCTTTGTGCCTGCTATTTCCACATGCTACAGTTTTGCTCTACTGTGTGAAAGCAGAGCCCAGCTGTGACCCATAAATGGGGACAAGGAGGATGAATGAGTAGATGGAAAGGTGGATGGACAGCAGCTAACACAGGCTCTGACCAGCAGTGTGTCCTCAGGCCGGCCTCAGTTTCTCTGCATTTACAGTAGTATCTAAGATGGTCCTATGACTTCAGGGAGCCTGTGTGCCATGGTGGCACTTTGCTTTGGTGTGCTCCCCTCCTCAGATGCTGTTTCTGGGTCTAGGTTGGGGGTGGGGAGGGCTGGCACTGCTGATGAAGCTGGTCTTCCCAAGGGGACATGGAGGAGGAGGCAGACTGACGGGCCCAGGGAGGACAGAACTCAGAGAGCAGAGATGTGGAGCCACCCCAATTCCACTAGCTGCTGCATGGAGTTTCTTCATCTGTGGAATGTGGCTGCCCACCTTCCTGGACTGTTAAGCGGGGAGATGGACAATGTTCTGATGTGGCCACACTGAAACGATAGCGTGTGCCAACTGTGCAGGCACATTGCCACCACCCTATCCTGCACCATTGCCCTGGAGGGCACAGGGTCATCTGAGGCTAGAAAGGTGATGGCAGGGGTAAGGCAGGAGTTCCCAGTCTTGGGGACTAAGGGAGGAGCCTGCTGCCTCTGGGTCCCTCTACGCCTGTGACCTCGTGTGTCTTTGGCAGGAGTTGCCTAAGTACCTCCGAGGCTATCACAAGTGCACACGAGAGGAGGTCCTGCAGCTGGGCGCGCTGATCTACAGGGTCAAATTTGAGGAGGACAAATCCTACTTCCCCAGTATCCCTAAGCTGCTAAGGGAGCTGGTACCTCAGGACCTCATCCGACAGATTTCACCTGATGACTGGAAGCGGGTGAGCATGGGGGAGGCAATCAGAACAGGTCTGTGGGCACACCAGGAGTGCAGTGGCATGTGCTGGCTACCGACTGGGGGCTGCTGGTTGTGGCTCCTATGCATGCCTCTCTGCTTTCATCTGCCTTATTCTCTACTCCTTTGTGCAAAGGGTTAGGTGACACTGATAGGAATTTGCCTTGGTTACGAGGGCGACTTGATACCAGTGGCCTGTGTTCCCAGGGGAGGGAAAAAAGTCCACTAACTAGGATGCAGTGGGAGCCCCATGGCCCTCCAGGACTGCCTGTCCTGTGTCTGGCCCTGGCAGTGCAGACAGGAAGTGGGCAGGAATGGTGGGAGGAGGAGGGCTGGGAGTGCTCCGTCCTGACCCGCCTCCTTGTGCAGTCGATTGTTGCCTACTTCAACAAGCACGCAGGAAAGTCCAAGGAGGAGGCCAAGCTGGCCTTCCTGAAGCTCATCTTCAAGTGGCCCACGTTCGGCTCCGCCTTCTTTGAGGTTAAGGTATGCCATCGGGGGTCTTCAATGAGGAGGACAGAGGGTTGATAAGGCACAGAAACTCTTCCCTGGGACTGAGGCAAACATGATGGCCCTGGGCAACTGTCCTGTTGGGGAAGTACCCTTAGCCTTGCTCTAGCTCAGCGTCTCAGCTAAGGGCTCAGCCCTGGGGAGAAGGAAGCAGAGGATCAGCCTGCAGGAGAGGCAGACATGCAGGTGAGCCAGAGCAATGGAAGGCGCCAGTGGAGGCCTTCACAAAGGTAAGAAAGTTTGAGGAGAGGGCCAGGGCAGGGTGCCTGGAGCACGTGACACTTGAGCTCTCCAGGGAGGTCCCAGGGAGTGCTCCTGCAAGGGGCCTGCATTGTAGGAGAAGGCCTAGAGGGCCTGCAGGGGTCAAGCGTGTCTGGGTATAGGAGTGAGATGACAGACTGTGGTGAGGGGCAGGGTGGCCAGTCGGTGTTGGGGCTGGGTGTCCTCCTGCAGGTCCTCTGAACAGGCACAGTGGGGCTGGATGGCTGATCGAGCTGCCAGGTGGACAAAGCTGAGCCCCTGACCAGAACCAGAGTGTGAGGAGCCTGGCACGAGAGGCTGTGGGCGCGTGTGGCTGTGCAAGGAGCAGAGGAACGGACATAGCTGGAGGCAGGGGCAAAGCTCAGCAAGGGCACTTCACAGATGAGAGAAAGAACATAGCACATGTCCCTAGAGAAGTGAGGGAGCAGGGGAGGAACTGCTGCTGGACCTGCAGAGGAATGTGGGGTGGCACCGAGGACATGGCAGAGGTGGGAACCATGAGGTCCCGGCAGCCTGCACCCCAGTACCACGCAGACCACAGGCCTGGGGCTTCACTCCAGCCCCTGATGCTTTCTTTGGCCTCCATCTGATGGTTTTTCTATCTTTCCTTGCTAGCAAACTACAGAGCCAAACTTCCCTGAGATCCTCTTAATTGCCATCAACAAGTATGGGGTCAGCCTCATTGATCCCCGAACCAAGGTGAGCAGGGAAAGGGGGCGCTGGGCTGGGCTTCTCTGGTGCCCGAGAAACAGCCCTGCTGGTCTCTGCCCATACTCACCAGCCTTCTCCCTGCACCCTGAAAGCTTGTCCGGGACTGTCCTGCCTGCACCTTGCCCCTCTTGGCTTCACCAGCACTGCTCCCCTGGAGCCCTTGCCCAGTCTCCTGGAGCTAAATCCCATGAGCTCCTCCAGTGTTTGGCTTTTTAGCACCACTGGCTGCTGCAAGCTGCTTCCTCCTTCCAGAATATTCTCTGCCCTTGCTGAGCAGGATGGTAGTCTGTGTTGGGGTGGCTGCACATTTAAGGACTAGAGCAGTCCTGCCAAGAGGCCCAAAGAGCACAATCCTGCCTTGTCTGCAGAAGGGGACAAGCACTAATGACCAGAATATTCTCCTGGCTTCATGTGCTACATGGTTTTATTTTATTTTATTTTTCCTATTTCTCTTAATCATTTCTTTTCAGACATTTTTTCGGGTTTATGAACCAGCCCAGGTACACTGTGTTCCTTGAGGCTCTGTCTTGTCTTCTTGGTTCCTGCCTCAAACTCTCCCTGGCCATCTCCTCCAGGCCCACAGAGTCAGCTCTCTAAGGCCACACAAGTTTGCAATTTCCACTCAAAGTTCCCAGCCACCTCCTGCCCTCTCTTGGTTGTCTGTGTGGCTGGCCCAGAGTGAGCAGCTCTGTGCAGAGCCAGCCTCTCCCCATTGTGCTGATTTTCATCTGAGGGCCCGAGGTCTTCGTGAAGGACTGCCTGTCTGCTGGAGCTGGGCGGAGCAAGGCTTGCTCGGCAGCTTCGTGTCCCTCTGTTCTCCCAGGACATCCTGACCACTCACCCCTTCACCAAGATCTCGAACTGGAGCAGCGGCAACACCTACTTCCACATCACCATTGGGAACTTGGTGCGCGGGAGCAAGCTGCTCTGTGAGACGTCCCTGGTGAGAGCTCTTCCCTGTTGCCTGGCCCGGGGCCTTGCCCACCCTCCGGCCAATGAAACAAGCTGGAGCGCATGGTGTGGCCCCGGTGTCGGGGTCAAGGGTTAGGTCTGGACCAAAGCCAGGTCGGTGTGAGGCTTGGCTTAGGTCTGGGGAAGGGGAGCAGACTCCTCGTTCGACAGCTGTTGCGGTAGCCTGTGGCTGTAGCCCTTTGGCTCCTGAATTCAGCAGCCAAACCATTAGCAAAGAGACCTCCTGAACTGAGTTCAGACTTCTGAGGCAGAGTTCATCTGGAAGCCTTTACAGTCACTCCTAGAGGGAGGCATCCTAGGTTTGAGGGGCGGAAACTGGGAGCCTAATGTCAAACAGCCTAGCACCTAAGCCGGCTGCTGGCTGTGCAGAGAGGGGGACGTGGGCTGGATAGGGTCTGCCTCAGTCCTGGGTAAAGTGAGGTCGAATACCCGGGACCGAGCAGCTGGTCATGGCTCACTGTGTGTTCCAACATTTTCTCCCCCACTGCATCCAGGGGTACAAGATGGATGACCTCCTGACCTCCTACATTAGCCAGATGCTCACAGCCATGAGCAGACAGCGGGGCTCTAGGAGTGGCAAGTGACGGGAGGAGGCTGCGGCTCTGGCCTGCTTTCCAGGTGGCATGGGCTAAGATCCATCAGCTGACCCTGGAACCTGGGAAGACCTCTGGCATCCAGGCAGGAGGCTGTGCTGGCCTCTACCACTGACTGCGCCCTCTGGGCCACTGGCCTGTTTTCCACTGAAGTTGGAATGTCCTTCTGTGCATCTTTGGCAACCGGAGTGGCTCCCACCCTGGCTGGCTGTGGCCTTTGCAGTATAACCACCTGCACACCTGGACATGCAGACCAGCTCCACCCCTGCTATGACTTTCCCTGTACCATGGGGGCAGAGGAATTCAGGGGACAACCTGTCTCTTACTACTGGGCACTACCAAACCACTGTGCATTGAACAGGATCCTCTGAAATCCACGGGACTTGCTGCTTCTCTCAGGTCAAGCACTGTCAGCTGGGTGAGGAGGGCAGACCCCTTTTGTACATGGAGTTTGAGTTCTGGGTCCTTGCTCAAGTTGCCCTGTTCATCTCAGGACATAAAGCATGTGTTCCATCCTCTGGCCTACAGTGTCTTTGCTGAGGGAGGGAGTGTGGGGTCACACTAGGGACCTCCTTCCTGCTCGGTACCAACCCAGCCAAGCTGGTCTGAGGATGAGGGTTGGAGTGCTTGAGTCCAAAGTGTTCTTAACAGTGGCTCAAAGGGACCAGGGTGTGTTTTGGAGAATTCCATGTCAGTATGAGAGGTAGGGAATTCAGTATCATGGGTTGGGGATGTAGAGGGAGAATCAGCCTCTGGGTCTTAGCTAGGGTCCCTGGAGCCAGAGCGGCCCTTGTACTCTGCCAGAAACATCCTGGTTCATCAAGACATGTCCAAGAACACCAAGAACAACATTGCCTTGGCCAAACCCTGTGACCAGTGGAGGCCTGTGGAATGTTGCCTTGTGAATAGGAGGAGACAACCAAGTTTGGGGATAACGAGTAGGTCTGGGGGTATGGGCTTCAGATAGGGCAGGGTGGTTGGGTGGGGCCTCTTCTGGGCAGTGGCTAAGATGACCCGACTAGAGCAGTGGCAACGAGGAATCCCTTTGCAGTGGGAGTGTCTGTGGCCTGCCTGAAGGCCTCCTGCTGTGTCAGTAGAGCTGGGTCTCACATGCCTTTATGTACTCAGGTGTCTATGCCACCCAGACCTGTGTGGCTGCCCACCCTCCAGGAAGCACTGTTGCTGATTCCTCCAGCTCTGGGAAAGGAGAGGGAAGGGCTGGGGGTCCTAAACTAGACAGCATCCCTTTCTGGGATGCCAATGTGCCATCTCAAGAGACATCCTGCTCCAACAACCTGGGCCAGAAGGTTGTAGTGGCCTGCCCCCATGCCATTTGCAGACGCGGGGCCCATGAAGGAGTATAAACACCTCAAGATCACACAGGGGAACTCAACTCCTTGTTAACTCTGTGCACTCAGATGTTTGCTCTCAGCTCTAGTTTCCCCTCAAGGACAAAAGGTGTTTGTTGGGAGAGACCGTGTCCACTGTAGCTCTCACTGGAGTCAGCCAACGACAGTATTAGGAAATGTGTGTGTGATATAAGATCTTGGCTCCTTTTTCCTTTTCCACCTTAAGATGGTGTCACTGACACACCCAATACCTGCTCAGGTGACGGGAGACAGAAGTGCTCCATTTACACTCTGGCCTCCTCCGAGTTGCCTTTCTTACACGTTGATATTCACCAGCCACGTTTCTAAGCAGGGAATGCTATGAAAATGACAGGATGTGATAAGCCTGTGAACCCCAGAGAGCAACCAGGACTACACACTACTGCTGTCCCCTGGCCAAGTGCCTTAGTAGACATTCTTTATAGGCCAGAATGGTGCTGTGGAAAGCCTCACTGGTCCTTCCATATCCTTCCTTGACCACTGCCCACCATTCCCACTCTTAGGCACAGAGAAGAAGAAGAAGGAGGAGAATACAAAGCATAGCTAAATTTTCTCCAAAGACCTACAGGAGGAATGTATCCTGTTCAAAGACCTCAAGAGGATTCAGCCAGAGAGGGATCTCAGTGTTAGAAGGGGTCTATCTGCAGGACAGGACCTAGGATGGATTTATACTCCTTTTGGGGACACCAGTGGTATAAAATTCCCCTTGTAGAGCAATAGTGACTTCACATCCCTCTTGAGGGACACTGGTGGATTGCTGTTCTTTTTTGGCATGCCCTGGCAGAAGAATGCCCTCTTTTTTTGGGCACTGGTGTTTTGACACTCCCTTTGGAGGACACTGATTGTTTAATTGCATAATAAACTCCTTGGTGGGTGCTTGGAGTTTGATACTTCCAAGGGGACGCTTGGACACTGACATCTGCCTTTAGGGGAACAGATGATCTGATTTTCTTTTCGAGCTTTGTAGAGGAATGCTCCCTTTGGCAGGATCCCCATGGGTTAGGTCTTCTCTAAGGATGCTATGAAATGGAGGCAGTTGGGGTATCTGCGGGTCCTTTGGGTCAAGAGCTTTCCATGACCGTTTTTCTCTTCAAGTGCTGCTTCCCAAATGTCTGGGGGGCGTCCGAAAGACAAGCATAGATTCCTCAAGTGTCAACTTCCCCAAGTTTTGTTGTGATGCCGTGAACTCATAGTCGTTTCTTAAGTGTTAAAACTGCTTCCCCCCGACCCTTCTCATTCTAGGCTTCCAACCCCGGACTTTGTGCCAAGACATGGGTGGTTTTTCCTGTTCTGCACTGTGTGAGCTAGGGCTCACCAAGGAGGTGCTCAGAGGGTGGGACTCACACCAACTCCAGGACTATCCATTTCACACAAAGGGCTTCCAATAAATAGATAAACACTCCGCTAGAATGTGAGTCTAAGAGCAGGGCCTGTGACTTAGTTACTGCTAATGATCCAGGTGCCCAAAATATGTCTGTTGCCACTAGGTGCTCAATCAATACTTTGTTACTAATTTATGATGAAAAAAACTAGTATTGGAGAGGGCTGGTGAGATGGCTCAGTGGTCTAAAGCACCTACTTAGAACAAGCTTAGCAAAACACAGGGACCGCGGTTCAATCCCCCAGCACCACATGCCAGCCAGCCCCGCCCCCTGGTGGGCTGAGCTGGCCACACACACATAAATAAAAATAAATAAATTTTTAAAAAAAGTTAAAAAAAAAACAAACTAGTACTGGAGAGCAAAGGAATTCACACCTAACCTCCTGCTTAAGACAAACCCTAAAAGTAGTTAAAATACAATGAAAAACTTGCTAAAATCGTTTAGGGGTTAACAATATGGTAAGGAGTCAGGCCCAAATAAAAATGTGAGAATCCAAGGAAGTAAGCTCAGCTCTAACTAGATACTGCCCCTAAGAAGCTATGTTAGCTATAAAGACACAGATTAAAAATAGAAGGATGGAGAGCAAGTTGACACAGGCTTCTATTTCCATTTACAAAGGAGGCTGAGCAGGCTGATCATAAGTTCAAGGCCTGTCTGGGCAACTCAGCAAGACCCTGTTGCAAAATAAAAAACCAAGCTGGAACATAGCTGAATGATAAAGTACACATGTAGCATGCATGAAATCTTGGGGTCAGTCCCCAGCACTGAAAACAAACAAACAAACACACACACACACACACACACACACACACACACACACACACAAACATATATTGTATTGATACCAATAAAAGAAAGAGTTGCTATGGATACATACCAGGTAGATTTCAGAGTAATATTACCAGAAATAGCAAAGATCACTTCATTATTGATCTGGAATTCACAGAACACCCTGTCCAGTAATAGAATATATTGTTTTTAAGTATCTATGGAATGAGGCAGACAGGAAAATCACAAGTTCAAGCCAAGCTTGGACAACTTCGTGCAGCCCTGCCTTAAAATTGTAAAGAACACTAGTTAGTTAATTTAAAGGACTGGGGATATAGGTAATGTGAAGGCCCTGAATTCAATATCCAGTATTGAAGAAAAAAAAAAAAAAGGAAAATATATCAGACGAGATCATATCCTGGGCATAAAAATAGTCACAATAGCATAAAGGGAATTAGGTCATGCCGAGGATGTTCTGTGGCAATGTCAAATTAGAAACCAATAATAAAGATATCTGGGAAATTGGGGCTGGGGTATAGTTCAGTGGTCGAGTGTGGGCAAGGCCATGAACACCAACCCAGAGTCCTGCCCAACTCCAAGAAGATACCTAGACAGTTCCCTAATATGTGAAAACTAACATTTTAAAGTATGTATTCTTGGGGCTGGTGAGATGGCTCAGTGGTCTAAAGCACCTACTTAGAACAAGCTTAGCAAAGCGCAGGGACCGCGGTTCAATCCCCCAGCACCACATGCCAGCCAGCCCCGCCCCCTGGTGGGCTCAGCTGGCCATGCACACACACACACACACACACACACACACACACACACACAAATATAAAACAAACAAAAAAAGTATGTATTCTTACTTTTAATTAACCTAGTAATCATACTGTGACGTCTCAGTACATGAGTGCTGAGTGTAACGAGCAGATCAGGGTAACTGGAATGTCTGTCACTTCCAACGGATATAGTTTCTTCCAGTTGAAAAAGTTCAAAACCCTAATAGTTATCACCCGTGGCTGTTCCACTGCACTATACAACATTAGAAGCTTTCCTCCTATCTAACTGCACCAATTAACCATTCTTTTTCCGTTTCTTTCTCTTCCAGACACTTCCTGGCTCTGGTAGCCACTATTGTACTCTGTATTTCTTGGAGATCAACCTAACTTATAGACAGAAAGAAGACTACGTAGTGTTTGTCTTTCTGTACTTATTTCTTTTGACATAGTCTTTCCATTCCATCCACGTTGGTGCAAATTACAGAATTTCATTCTTTTTTTGGCTGAATAATATCCTATTTTCTTTATGCATTCATCTGTTGATGGCACTCAGGCTGATTCTGTAGGTTATCTATTATGAGTGGAGTGCTGCAATAGACATAGAAGGGCCGGGGAGATGGCTCAGTAGAACAAGCACTTGCCTGGCAAACGCAAGGGCCTGAGTTCAATTACTGGCTCTGAAAAAAAAAATGCAAGGTGCAATCTCTCACTTTGGCTGGGGAGATGGCTCCATGGAATAAGTACTTCCCTGGCAAGCCCAAGGGCCTGAGTTCAATCCCCAGTTCTGCCCCCCCCACACACAAAAAAAAAAAACAACGACGTGGAAGTGCCAACTTCATACAGTTCCGTCTCTAGTGTTTAAAGTGATCATCATCCTGTTTTCTGTATGACTGTGCTAATTTACATGTCTGCCGACCCTGTATGAGAATTTCCTTACCTGGTTTACATCCTCATCAGCATTCTTGTTTTTTCTTTTTGGAAACAGCCATTTAAGTAGGGTGAAATGCCATTTCCTTACGATTTTCATTTGTTTTTCTTGATGATCTGTGATGAACATGTTTTCAAATGCTTGTTGCTGTCCACGTCTGTAGCCTCTTTTGAGGAATGTCTATTCAGGTTATTCACCCACTTTTAATTGGAATATCTGTAATTTACTGAGTTCAGTTCCTTATATGTTCTGGAAATTTGT